ATTACATAACAAATAAATATACATTGTGTATAAGAAAAAATTTGGAAAATATAGATGAATTAAAGCAAAACAAAGTCTTTAATCCCAGTATTAAGATAATTGCTATTATTTTGGAGAAACAAGTCTAGATTTCTTTCAATACTTACGTACGTTTGTAAATATTTATATATTTCCCCAACATGCTGCTTTTGTAGCAAGCTGTTTTTAGACACTATATGTGCAACACATTTCCATATCAAATATACAATAGATTTTTTAAATTTTTTCAATTGCAGTTGACGGTCAATATTGTTTTCTGTTAGTTTCAGATGTACATCACAGTGATTAGATATATATATGTAATTTACAAAGTGACCCCCATAAGTCTAGTACCCACCTGACACCATAATAGCTATTACACTGCTATGGACTGTATTCCCTGTGCTGTGCTGTACATCCCTGTGACTATTCTGTAACTACCAATTTGTACTTCTTTATCCCTTCACCTTTTTCACCCAGTCCCCTTAACCCCACTCCATATATATTTTTTGAATAGTTGTTGTAGTTCTGTGCAATAAGTCATTGGTATCTTGATAGGAATTGCATTGAATCTACAGATTGCTTTGGGTAGCATAGACATTTTAATGATTTTCTTCTTCCTGCCCATGAATAGGGTATATGCTTCCACTTGTATCTTCTTCAATTTCTTTCTTCAGTATCTTTTAATTTTCCAAGTACAGACCTTTTATATCCTTGGTTAAATTTATTTCTAGGTATTTTATTCCTTTTTAAGCAATTGTGAATGAGATTATTTTCTTTCTTTTTCTGATAGTTCCTTATTGGTATATAAAAATGCAGCTAATTTCTGGGTATTTGTTTTGTGTCCTGCTACTTTACTGAATTAATGTATCAGTTCTAATAGTTTTTTTGGTGGACTCTTTAGGATTCTCTATAGACAGTATCATGTCATCTGTAACAGTTTTACTTCTTCTTTTCCAGTTTGGATGGCTTTTAATTCTTCTTGTTATCTGATTGCTATGACTAGGACTTCCAGTACTATGTCGAACAGGAGTGGTGAAAGCACGCATCCCTGTCTTGTTCCTGTTTTTAGGGGAAATGGTTTTAGTTTTTGCCCATTGAGTATGATGTTGGCTGTGGGTTTGTCATATGTGGCCTTAATTATGTTGAGGTATGTTCCCTCTATTCCCACTTTGCTGAGAGTTTTTATCATAAATGGGTGATAGATTTTGTTGAATGCTTTGTCTGCATCTATTGATATGATCATGTGGTTTTTATCCTTCATTTTGTTTGTGTGATGTATCGTGTTTATTCATTTGCAGATATTGTACCACCCTTTCATCCCCGGAATAAATCCTACTTGATCATGGTGTATGATCTTTTTATTGTATTGCTGAATCTAGTATCCTAATATTTTGTTGAGGATTTTAGTGCCTACGTTCATCAGGGATATTGGCCTATAACTATCTTTCTTTGCAGTGTCTTTATCTGATTTGGGGATTAGGATAGTGCTGGCCTCATAAAATGAGCTTGGGGGCCTTCCCTCCTCTTGAAGTTTTTGGAATAGTTGGAGGAGAATTTGTGTTAGTTCTTCTTTGGATGTTTAGTAACATCCACCTGGGAAGCCATCCATCCAGTCCAGGACTTTTGTTTGTTGGGCGTTTTTGAATTATTACTTCAGTTTCACTCATTATAATCTGTCTGTTCAGATTCTCTGATTCTTCCTGACCTGGTGTTGGCAGACTGTGAGTTTCTAGGAATTTACCCATTTCGTCCCCGTTGTCCAATTTGTTAGCATATCGTTGTCTGTAATGTTTTCTTACAATCTCTTGTATTTCTTTGCGGTCAGTTGTTATTTCTCTTTCACTTCTGGTTTTGTTTGGGTCCTCTCTCTTTTTTTTCTTGATGAGTTTGGTTCAAGGTTTCTCAATCTTGTTTATCTTTTCAAAGAACCAGCTCTTGGTTTCATTCGTTTTTTTGTACTGGGTTTTTTAAGACTCTTATTTTGTTTATTCCTGCTCTGAAAGAACGAAATCTTACCCTTTGTGACGGCATGGCTGACCTGGAGAGCATGATGCTAAGTGAAATAAGCCAGTCAGTTCATATGTGGAATCTAATGAGCCAAATGAACTAAGAAGCAAAACAGTGACAGACTCATAATAGAGAGCAGGCTGACAGCTCTGGGGATGGATGGATTGAGCAAAAACAAAAAAAACCTCATGGACACAGACAACAGTGTGGTGACTGCCACAGACAGCAGCGTGGAGGAAGGTACAGGGGGATAAATGGTGAAGGATGGAGACTTGGCTCGGGGTGGTGAACTCACAGTACCGTGTACGGATGATGTGTTGTAGAATTGTGCACCTGAAACCTGTCTAATTTTGTTAACCACTGTCACCCCAATAAATTCAATTAGTATTTTAAGAGAGGATTAGGGAGGGGGAAGGTGATTCAGGCTGGTGCTGGCAGTTCCTTGGGAGACTTGTAGCGAGAAACGTACAGGGAATCTGGTGGGTAGGGCAAGGGAAGGGGAGGAAAATGAAGAAAATTTTAATAACTGCTGCTGTGGACAATGTATTTCGATTTCCCCAATAACCTAAAATTTAGAAAACCTCAGTACAGGAGATTTACTTTTTTTAAATCACCATTTTTGGCTGATGGGCCCTGTTTACCCACCTCTAAGTCAGCCTTGTAGGCTCCAGGCTTTATGACGGTTCTGGCCACACGTGAGTGCTTGTGTGATGAAACACACAGTATTAAACACATACCTGCACCTTCTCGCTTCGTCCTGAGAGCCCCCCTGTGAACGAGAAGCTGCTTTTCCCTCTGTCTTATAGTTTGAAAACGTACACAATTGGTAAGTGGTGGAGCTGGGACTTGGTTCCAAGTCTGCCCAACCCAAAGCCTGCCCTTAATTGCTATGCAGATTGCCTGTTTGACCAGAATATCCAGGTGTTCAGAGCCTGTAGGTCTGGTTCCTGGGGACTACACGCAAAACTTCCCCAAATAGTGGGTGAGTTGGAGATGGGCTCTCTCCCACCACCGTCCGCTCAGCATTCCCCATCCCTTAACCACCTTTCTCCTTTTGTTCAAGAGGCATCTAACTCTACTTCCTGTTCATTTTTGTTGGCCCCTGGCTCAGCTCGTGCTAGCTGAGTGGTTCAGTTGGTTGGAGTGTCATCCTGTGCACCAAAAGGTGTGGGTTTGATTCCCAGTCAGGGCACGTGCAGAGGTTGCGTGTTCAATCCCCAGTGGGGGCATGTACGGGAGGCAGCCAATCAATGTCTCTCTCACATCAATGCTTCTCTCTCTCCTCCTCTCCCTTCCTCTCTCTTTAAAAGTCAATAAAAATACTTTTCTTGGGCGAGGATTAAAAAAAATACCTACAGCTCAGCATTCTCAAGTCTTCCTAGGAGCTGCTGTTTGCTAGAAAATAGTCATTAGGACTGTCAGCTGGTCCTGAGGGCCCACTATGTTCTGGGTGCCTATCTCCACGCATTAGCCTCTCTTCCTCTGGACACCCTAGGAGGGGGTTGTATCCCCATGTTACAGATGTAGAAACTGATCCTTGGAAAGGTTCGTTAGGTAACCACTGAGGGCATCGACCACCTTTCTGGAGTAAATGTGGCCATTGATACCACATATATGTTAGAAAGAACATTTGGATACTTGATCGGCCAGCAATTCCGCTCCTAGGTCTGTACCCAACAGAAATGAATAATTCCATTCACCAGAAGATGTATACAGGATGTTGGTGGCTGTATGATTTGAGTAGCCCTAATCTGGAAAATGTCCAAATGCCCAGCAATAGCAGAATAGATAAAGCATCCTCCCTTCAAACATGGAATAATATACAGCAGGGAACATGAACAAACAAGATGTGCAATAACTTGGGTGAGTTGTCAGACTATCATCAATAAACCCACAAACAAGTGCTGGCGAGGATGTGGAGAGAAGTGAGCCTGCTTGTGCACTGCTGGTGGGAGTGCAGACGGGGGCAGCCACTGTGGACAGCAGGATGGAGTTTCCTCAATAAATTAAAAATGACCCAGCAGTTCCGCTTCTGGGATTTTATCTGAAGTAACCCAGAACACTAATTTGAAAGAATATATGCACCCTTATGTTCACTGCAGAGGTATTCACAATCGCCAAGACTTGGAAGCAGCCCAAGTGCCCGTCAGTAGATGAGTGGATAAAAAAGCTGTGGGACATGTACACAACGGAATACTACTTGGCCATAAAAAAGGATTAAAAAAATAGCTAATCCAGTTGACATTCACTATTACATTAGGTTCAGGTGTACAGCATCGTGGTTAGACATTAATGTAACTTAGAAAGTGATCACTTGGATAAGTCTGACACCATACGTAGTTATTACAATATTATTGCCTATATTCCCTGTGCTGTACTCACCTCCCATGGCTGTCTTTATACCTGGAAATTTATATTTAATCCCTTCACCTTTTCACCCAGCCCCCCAGCTCCCCTCCTATCTGGCAACCCTCAGTCTGTTCTCTGTGAGTCTGTTTCTGTTTTGTTTGTGTGTTTTGTTTTGAAGACTCCGCATCTAAGTGAAATCAATGGTAGTTGTCTTTGTCTGATGTATTCCTTTTCATCTGTGACTACACCGAGCCCCTTTCTCAGCTGGGAAAGAGCCGTCTTCAGAGCGGCCGGAGGTCTGGTCTCAGAGGCCGGGAGAAGGAGGGAGAGCCTGGGCCCTGTCCCAGCAGCTGCAGTAACAGCTGTATTATTGCTACGGGGTCAGAGCTAAGGACCCTGAGCGGTGTTACCGGGAAGAATGGGAAGCCCTGTCCTGGCTGCCTCGCCTGCTTGCAGGGGGGAGGTGGCGTGAGAATGAATGGACGAGGGGAGGGGGGAGGTGGCATGAGAATGAATGGACGAGGGGACGGGGGAGGCAGTGGCCCCAGCCTCCCTCTGGTGGCTCCGAGGTCAGCAGCCCCGTGTCTTTCGGTCTCATTTTCTTTCCTTCTCTTACTTCGCAGTCTCATCGGACCAGATCGAGCAGCTCCGCCGGAGGTTTAAGCAGCTGAGCGGAGACCAGCCCACCATTCGGTGAGACGGGCAGCTGGGGGCGGGAGGGGGGGGGGTGGGCGCTGGCAGGTCCGGGCACTGGGCAGTTTCTCTCCGTGTGTCTCTCTCCCTGCGTGCCCGTCTGCGGCAGCTGTTTTCACTCTCCGGGTGCCTGCAGGACGGGATGCTCTCCCTGAGGGGAGGAGGAGCCATCTGTTTCTTTCGGATGAGAAACGTCTAACTGGAGTGAAGATGGGGGGGGGGTGCAGAGCTAGCCAGCCGCCCACCTCACCCGACCTCAGGTGGACCGAGCTGCCGGGCGCCGGCGCGGGCACACGCGGAGGCCGTGTGCAGTGTGTGAAACGTGTGCGTGCCGGTCCTGCCCGCTGCGGGTGCAGCCGGGGCGGCTCAGATGTCAGAGGCCCCGTCCCTGACTCCCCCCTCCGGTGGTTAGTGCTGACTTTGGTTAAGATGCCGGTGACGGCCCGGCCAGTGTGCTCAGTGGTTGAGCACCAACCTATGACCCAGGAGGTCTCGGTTGGATTCCGGTGGAGGGTTCTCTCGCATCATTGACGTTTCTCTCTCTCTCCTCTCCCTTCCTCTCTCTGAATCATTAAACACATTTTTTAAAAATAAAAAGGTGGCAGGTGGCGGCCAGTTCCCCTTCCAGAAGCGGGCAGGTGACGTGTTTATGGACAGGCTTTGCGCGGCGTGCCCCCTGGGCAAGTGCGTTCAGTCGGGTGGTGGTTGAGTCCCTGGAACGAGGTCCGTGTTTCCCTCAGAGGGTGGGCCCAGCTAAAGGACGTCCGGGGCCCTGACGTGGGAACTGCTCACAGATGTTACGTGAGCGTGTCCATGTGCTGCCCAGCTGGAGCCTGTGCCAGTCCTGTCCCCCCCACACACACACACACGAAGTCGTGGTGGGAAGACTCCCCCATTTCACAGACGGCGAGGAGGCCGTGCTCTGGCCTGGGTCATGCGGCCCCTCGGGTGGAGGAGCGGGGATTGGAACCCAGTGCTGAGATCTTGCGTAAGGAAGTGGCCTCCCTGCTCTGCCCTCTGGGACCACCACCCTCAATGTCCTGGGCCTGCAGCTCACGCAGCCCCTGCGCCGTGTCTCCTCTGTGCTGGGCGGTGAGTCGGTTGCACTCCTGCAGGAAGGAGGGGGGCTGACCACAGCGTCTTGTGCAAACCGCCTGCAGGAGGCCTCCTCCCCGGCTCTGGCTCTCAGGCTCTCGGAACTGCTCTGCCTGTTCCTGATCGCCCCCCTCCAGGGTCCGGAGAGGGAAGACGGGGCAGCTTTTCGGTTCCCTGGGCTTTCCCGTCTGTCTGCCCAGGGCAGAAGGAACGCGTAGCGAGCCGCGGGCTGCGGTCTGGTGTCCAGCGCTGTTCCCACGCTGCCAAGGTCTCCTGCATGGCCTCGGGCCAGGCCTTCACCCTCTCTGGTCCCCGGGACACCCACAGGCTGTCAGGGGCCCGGGGTTGTGCCGGGGTGGGGCAGGGCGAGGATTCGTCTCTTCAGTGTTTGCAAAACTGTGGGTGGAAGCTGGCCAGGCTGTGGGGACATTCCAGATCATGAGAAAGGCGTTGGCTGGGGATCCCCGAGCGTGGCCCCCGGCACCGTCTGTGAGGGTGTGGGGAGCAGTGCCCTGTGCCCTCCCACAGGGGATATTCGAACACCTCGAGTGCAGAAGGTCTCTTAAAGGTGACCGTTCAAACCTGCAGGCTTTGTGCACAGACAGGTAAGATCTGCAAGCTGCGTTTTTAAAAGTTTAACGAAGAGTCGGGCTTTGCAATTTGTGACTTTAATAAATTGAATAGAGCTTTAAAAAACAAACAAGGTAAAGCTGCCAAAATTGGTTTTAACTTTAACCCACTTGTGTCCTACCCGTGTTTGGTGGGATAAGTCTCTGGGCGTCATGTAAGGACATGGGGGGCAGGGGTGACCCTGAGGCCTTTAGAGCTGGGATGTCAGGACCCCTCCCCGGGTTCCTTACACAGCCAGCACCTCATTTTTAAAAAGTTCATCGTGTTGCATTCTTTTTCTTAAGAGGGCCCCCAAATGATCGTCAGGACCCCCAGATCTAAATGCGGAAGGCTGAGTGCTGAGCCTCCTGGTGGGTGCGAGGAGTAAGGGTCCTCTGACGTTTCTGCAGCACCTGCTGAGCCGCCCTCTCTCCTGGGAGGACCCTCCGCAGTGGCCCTCCGCGAGATGTAGCCGCAGGCCCGAAGAGAACGCAGTCATGGCCTCTCGCACCTTTCTCTTTCCTTGGGCCCTTTAACCGGTGACTGCCTTCAACAGCGACTTTTCACTTCCTGGTAGCGCCCTGGCAGGCTCCCCAACATCCAGAAATAGCCGCAGTGGGTACTGCACCCAGGCGGAGCGGCCGGAGGCCGATTAGATAGAGCGAGTTACAGGCATACTTTCAGGTTCATGAGGCCACGGAAGGGGGTGGCTCCTGGGATAAAGGCCCAGGCGCCCGGGGCAGGGGGTGGTGTGCACTGAGCAGGCCCACACCCCGCACAGCCCACGGCACCCTCCCCGCCGGGTGGGCGTTCCTGCCCGCTGTACTGAGTCAGAGGTTCCCGCAGGGCGAACCCCATCCGTGGGAGCCCCAGCGCCATCAGCGGAGTGCTGACTGTGCCAGGCACCGGAGCCCTCTGAAGTCCACGTCATCACCCCGTTTTGCAGATTAAGAAACAGAGGCCCCGAGGTTAGGTCTCCCAGCAGAGCGGGCTGTGAGGAGCTCCATCTGCCATGAGTCACTTGTTAGCTGAGTCACTGCTTTTACCTGTCAGGTCGCCAGACATTTACCAGGTTCTTAGAACTATCGCCATGCGCACGGAGTGAGGCCGGGCCTGGGTCGCCCGGCTGTTTCACTGTCAGGATCTGATCTATCCCAGGAGTTAACGAGCCTTCGCCGCTAGCTAGGACGATGTGCTAGGACGATGCACATTTATTTAAAAAGAAAACCCCGCAGTCATTTGTAAAGCTGCGCTGGAAACAGCAGCCGGTGTGTGTGTTGGGGGGTTGGGGGGAGCTGGGAACAGCTTGGGGAGGAGCCGCGTGGAGGAGGGGGCTGTGGCCGGAGAGGCAGGGCCGGGAGGGCCGGCGCAAGGACTGGGAGTGGGTGCTCCTTTCCGGTGTGAAAGCCTGGGCACCCGAGGGTGACGCCCACGCCCACCCCTGCCCCTGCGCGGGACCCCTGACCCTGCAGCGGCCCGTCCACCCCGTCCGCATCTCAGAGGTACCTGCCCCGCCAGCTGCCTCTCCCCCAGGCCCCGTCAGGCTGCCTGCACCGCCCTCCTGGGGTGGCAGAGGCCTCCTCCCTGGACCCCTGCTCTGTCCGACAGCCCCGCCCACAGACACGCAGGAATGAGCGGGATCCTATTGAAATGGCGCTTCTCTGCCCCAATCGGTCCATCCTCCCGGGAAAATGAAGTGCGAGCCCCCAGGCCGCTGCCTGTCCCAGGCCCCTGTGCGATGGGCCCACCCCTCCGCCGCCTCCTCCCCCTTCTGGAATGCCCTCCCCGAGCACTTGGGGCTGGGGCAGCCTTGGGGGGGCGTCATGCACATTGTAGGGTGCTGAGCAGCGCCCCTGGCCGCCACCCCCCGACGCCCACAGCACGCCCCTCCCAGGACAGTGAGGAAGGCCCGTGACAGGGCCAGCGGCCTGGGCGGAGGACGCGCCTTCTCCGGGTTTCTGCTCCAGTGCCACCCTCGCCACCAGGCCAGGCTGGCGCTGCGGAGACACAGCTTTCTGTCTGCGTCCGTCTGTCCGTCCGTCTGTCCGTCCGTCCTGGGAAGCCCGCGCCGGAGCAGGTGTCACTCCCAGGTCAGACTCTGCCGGGCGCTGGGGGGACAGCGGTGCAGGCGCAGCAGTGGCGGGAGAGGAGGAAGCGTGGAAAGAGCGTCGCCTTTCCCTGCCAGTGAGCCTGGGGAGAGCCCGGGCCATTAGGGGTCCCCAGCACTGGGCCATCGGGCCAGCGCCTCAAGCAGAAGCTGCCCCCGCCCCCTCCGGGATGGGCTAACAGGCGGGTGAGGCAGGGGTCTGGGCCGGCGGGGGCTCTGCCTGCTCCAGGGCCCGGGCGGTTCTGCTGGTCGGGCTGCGCTCGGAGGAGCTGGCCACTGTGGGGGGGCGGGGGGCACACTTGCTAACGAGATGCGGTCCCTCCTCCATGGCCCAGGGGCCCCAGTATCTGGTGGCCCAGCGTGGGCACGGCAGAGGCTGAGCAGTGAGTGCAGGGGAGGCGGGAGGAGGAAAGTGCTGGGGGCCCTGGGCGCGGGGATCTGATGGGGGGGCTGGGGGTCCGGGCTGAGGATCTGGGCCTCCTGCACCCTCAGCTGGGGCTCAGGAAGTCTGGGGTGGCTGGGGGCAGGCAGACCCAAAGCTGCAGAGACCTTGGCCTCTGAGCTGAGCTGAGCTGAGCCTCAAAGCCACCGGAAACCAGCCCACACCACGGGCTGCGGAAGGAAGGTCCCGGCCCGTCCTCGTGGTTTGTTTCATCGTGACCTTCCCTGTGGGCCAGACACTTGCCCTCTTCCTGGGTCCTGGTTGCGGCTCTCGGGCTGGTGGGAGCAGGGCCCCATACAGGGTTCTGCTCCTCTTTCTCTCTGAAGTAAAACCGCTCAGGCGGGAGGAGGTAGCGAGTGAGGAAGTGCACGGGCGGTCAGAGCCCTTCGCAGCCTTTCCGCCCGTGTGTGGCCGTGGCTCAGTCCCTGCCCCTGCCTGGGCCTCCTTTCCTTGCCTGTGAAATGGGGCGGCACTTAGCACAGCCGGACACCGTGGGAGCCCTCCTGGAGAGGCAGGAGGCCGTGTGCCCTGCAGGCCTCGTGGGCCACCCCTCCCTTCCCCCCGACTGGTCACGCTCTGGCCCCAGAGCAGTGCCCTGTCCCAGGTGAGGCAGGGCCTGTTCCCACGGCTCAGATACCATCAGCCCAGCCGGTCGGACCAGCCCAATGGGCACCTGGGGGCCAGTGGGGAGGGAGGGAAATAAGACCGAAACCAGCATTTATGGGCGTGGAGCTGTGGTGAGCCTTTCCCAGGTTCTGGGCACAGGCCTGCGTCCAACTTGTTGAAAAGAGAGGTTGGCAAATAATTGGGAGTGTCCCCGAGAGCCAGACAGCCCCGCGGGCTCTCAGAGGGCTGCTCCGGCCAGGCTGTGCGGCCCGCGTCCGCAGTGCCATCCTTAGTCGTGGTAGGAAGTTTCTTCACCTCTCTGCCTCGGTTTCCCCGCCTTTAAGACGGAGATGAGTTCCTACTGTGTAGGATAATGAGGCGCTTAGGGAGGACGTAGGAGGTTAGCTGCTGTCGTCGTCATCGTCATTATTTCAAGTTGAGGGCTCACTGAGTGCCAGGCAGCGTGCTTTGCGCCTTCCGTGCCTTTATCTTGTTTAGTCGACTCGTTAGCCCCACGATATTACCTGGTTATTCCCACGATCCCATTTCTCAGATGAGAAATCCGGGGCTCTGACACCTGCCAGGGGCTCCCCCCAGACCAGGCGACTGGTCAGCTGGAGCCTGGACCGCCCCCCGGGGAGCTTGACTTCACATCCCCTGTGATATGGGAGGTGCGAGTTTTGCACCCAATTCACAGATGAAGAAATGGAGGCTCCCAGAGTCAGGAAGGTGCCTGTGGGGAGGAGGAGGTTCTGCCGGCCTGTGGACCCAGCAGCGACCTCTGAGAAGGGAGCGAAGGCGGCTGGGCTTCCAAGACATCGTCACGCCCCTGCTGACCCCGGCTCCGCCTCACCTCTGCTGTCGGGAGAGCAGGCCGCTTGTGCTACTTTCTTTTCCAGACGTGTAGTTTGGCTCTGGGGGATGCCTGGCCCTGCGGGTTGTTCCTCCCTCCCTCCTCTTCCTCCTCCCCTCCCCTCCCAGGACGCTGCTGCCTGTCCTCCCTCTCAGGTCAGCCCCAGGGCCCCACGACCCTTTATGGGATCTCACGGTGACCAGGGCTGCTGGTGGTCCCTCTGGCCGCGTGCACAGCGTGGGCACTGGCTTTCTCCCAGCCCCGTAGGGCCTGCAGCTTGCACATTTCGGCTCTTCAGGGCTGGGCTCCGCCCTTGGGGACTGGCTCCAGCTGTTGGAGTCCAGGCTCGGCTCCTCCATGTCAACTCGCTTTGGCTGTGAGGGACTAGGTTGGGCTCTTAGGCCTTAGCGGGGCCATCCCGGGCTAAGTCCATTAAAATCCAATTGACCTGGGTCCTGGGGAAGCCCGGGTCTCCATACAATTGCCTTAGAGCAGTGGTTCTCAACCTGTGGGTCACGACCCCTTTGGGGGTCGAATGACCCTTTCACAGGGGTCGCCTAAATACATCCTGCATATCAGATATTTACATTACGATTCATAACAGTAGCAAAATTACAGTTATGAAGTAGCAACAAAAATAATTTTACTGTTGGGGGTCACCACAACATGAAGAACTGTATTAAAGGGTCGCGGCATTAGGAAGGTTGAGAACCATTGCCTTAGAGGAAAGGACCCTTCAGTGAGCACACTTGGCCTGGGAGCCCGAGGTTGAAAGGGCTGCTGACTCTCCAGGGGGAGGTGCCTGTGAAAATCACTGGGACACACTGAGGCTGGCTCCCAGGGGCCTGTGGGAGAGGGGGGCTTGCTTAGGGGCGAGCTGGGCTCCTGGGGTAGGCGCCTCCCTTTTGGACTAGGCTCCGCCCTTCGGGACTGGCTACAGCCTTAGGGTCTGGGCTGGGCTCTTAGGGGCTAAGCTCCGCCCTGGGGTCTGGGCTTCGGCTCTTTGGGCCAAGCTGGAGCGCCAGGAGGGCACAGGAACTGGCACGGGCAGCGAGCAGAGGCTGTCCAGGTCTGGGGCCAGTTCTCTCTGCACAGAGGGGCCAGCGTGTGTTTAGGGAAACTTTCAGCTGAAACCGCGTTTAAGTCTCTGTGTCCGTGGCACTTCGTCCTCCCAGCACGGCCCTCCAGGCCCAGTCCTGGGTGGGATGCCTGTGGCTCCCTGGCCTTTCTTGTTTGAAGAGGTGGTTTCCTCCTCCTGCCGGGCCTGCCCCCCTGTTCCCCGGATTCCCGCCTGTGCCCTGGGGCTCTTCCAACGCCACTGCCCATTGCAGTCGCAGAGCAGGGAGAAAGGTGAGCAGGAAGCAGATTCCGAGAACAAAGGCTGGGCTGTGTGGGAAGGTCAGGGAGGTGAGGACCTTCCCACAGCCTCACCGCGGTGCCCGCAAGTCCACAGCCTCGAGGACCCAGTGGGCCTGGGCCCAGCGACAGGGCTGCTGCCTTTGATGGTCACCCTCTGTCCCAAGTCAGCATCTTTTTTTTTTTAACCGCTTTACTGAAATACAATCTATATACCCTTCTGCTCACTTAGTAAAACGTACAAGTCACTGGCTTTAGTCTGTTCCCAGAGTTGTTGCACCGCAAGCACCAGTCACGTTTTAGACATTCTGTCCCCCGAAAAAACCCGTATCCTCAGCCATCACGCCCCTGGCTCCAGCCCCCCAGCCCCGAAGCCACGCCTCTCCTTCCCGTGCCTGTGGATTTGGCTACGCTGGACATTTTACGTAAATGAAATCAGACCCTGTGTGGCCTTTTAGGTCTGGTTTCTTCAGCATCATGTGTTCAAGGTTTATCTGTGCTGCAGGATGCATCCAGAGTTCATTTATTTTTTGTGGCTGAATAATATTCCCCTGTGGGGAGACCCCATTTTGTTTATCCAGTTATCACTTGATGGACATGTAGGGTGTTTCCGCTCCGTGGCGATGATGAATCATGCTGCTGCGAGCTTCGTGCACATTCTCACGTCAGCACGTGCCATTTCTCCTGGGTACACACCTACGAGCGAATCGCTGGGTCAGGCGGTAGCTTTACAGCTCACGCCTTGCGGACCGGCCGACTGTTTGCCATGTCTCCAGGCCAGCTTCCCGCTGTGCGACACCACAGTGGCCGGAGCGGGCTCCCCACCCGGGGATGCGACGGGCTAAGTGGTCTCTGACCGCCCCGAATGGGTGCCATCCTTGTCTCCCTTTAACTTTCTGGAGGGGAATGTCCAGCACACTTAGTGGATCCCCCAAAGCCTCCCTGAGCCTCCAGACCCCGTTCCTGCCAGTCCAGGGTTGGGTCCATGCCGCACGCTGTCCTGCTCTGACCTGCTCTCGTGGGCCCCTCTCAGGATGAAAGGGACAGCCTGGCCCCGGCCCAGTGGCTCCGTCGGTTGGAGCCTCATCCTGTACATCAAACGCATTTCGGGTTCGATCCCCAGTTGGGGCACATACGGGAAGCAACAATTGATGTTTCTCTCTCACATCGATGTTTTGTTTCTCTTCCTCTCTCTCTAGAATCAATAGAGGATTTTAAAAAAATACAGCCTGGTACATGGGGAAGTGTTATATGACATCTGTTTTCTTTTCTCTCTCCTTCCTGGTGCTCGTCCTTCCGGAACCAGCAAGGAGCACTTCAACAACGTCCCTGACCTGGAGCTCAACCCGATCCGATCCAAAATCATCCGTGCCTTCTTCGATAACCGGTGGGCCTTGTCCCGCGTAGGGGGGCTGTGTCCTCGGGGGAGCAGTTTGCCCTTGTAGCTAACGTCTCACAGCCCTCGGTGCTCAGAACAGCCCTGGAGCTGGCGCAGGGAGGAGGAGGGAGCTGTTTGGGTAGGAGCTGTGAGCACGGGTTTGGGTCACACCGTTCTGGGGTCGTAGCTGGGTAACTTGGGTGGCTCACTCAGCCCCTCTAGGCCTCCGTATGAGTCAGCTTTGGCTGCGTAACAAATTACCCCAACACTTAGCAATTTAAAACAATGAGTATTTATGCTCTCACCGTTTGTGTGGATCAGGCATCTGGGTGCAAACAAGCTGAGTCCTCGGGCTCAGGGTCCGCTGGGGCTACAGTCATCTGAAGGCTCGACTGGGGAGGCTGTGTTCCCGAGCTCCCTGTTGGCAGGCGGCCTCTCAGGACCTCTCCACAGGGCTACTCGCACGTGGCAGCTGCTGGCTCCCCCCGCTGAGATGTCCCCATGACAAGGAGGGGACTGACTGGGCACCCCCGATAGAAGCCACCAGTTTTGGTAACCCAACCTCTCAAGGCACAGGTCACCGCACACTTGGAAAAGGGACTGAGCAGGGGCGTGGGATCCTTGGGGGCCACCTGGGAGGCTGCCTCAGTTTTCTCATCTATTAAATGGAGGTAATAACAGCCTCTGCCTTCCGGGGTCGCTGTGAGGGTGCAGAGATGATGTGCTAAAGCGCTAAGGGCTATCCTGCTTGTTGCCCTGGACTACAGACAGCAAAACTGAGGTTCAGGGAGATGGTGCACTTGGCTGCCTGAGTCCCAGAGTTGAGGCTCTGGCCAGAGCTCCTCTACCAAATGCCGTGTTGTTGGCGTTGAAAGACTCACATGCCTGGATGGAGGCTCCTGGGGTGTGAGCTCCAGGCCTGACCCCTCTGTCCACAGAGATCGCTGACACAGGAAGAACCAGCAGAAAGAGGAAGGAAGGGATCGGGCCACCAGCACTTCCCTGACCTGTTCTAAGTAGCGTGAGTCTGGACGGCTCAGCTCTGGTTGGATGGGGGCTGCGAGGCCCAAGCAAGATGCTGAGCCCCTCGGAGCCTCGCCTGCTCACAGTGGGGGGATGGGGAGTCCTCCCTCCAGGGCTCATGGGGCAAGACCTGAGGAGAGAGCGACTGAGAGTTCACCAGGCAACGCGGGAGAGAAGACGCCGCAGGATAACTGCTTGTGCAAAGGCCCAGTGGATTCGAAGCACTGCCCTCGACGGCTAGTTGTCCCGGGCCAGCTGGAGTGGCCCTTTGCTGGGACGCACAGTAAGGGCGGGACCCCCGCCTGCCATTCTGATGGCCCCTCCCTCCGGGGCCGCCGGACTGTGGCCGCTGGGGTCCGTGGCGGTGGCCTCTCCAGAGCTGTTGTCACCGGGACCCGCCTGGGGCCGTGACCACGCCTGCTGTGTGCTCCCTGAGCCCCGCCCGGGCAATGCCCTTTCTTGCCCCTCAGGAGGGCACACGGGCAGGGACGGCAAACTGCCCGGATCCACTAAAGCACCGGGAGCCACGTGACCTGCCCTGGTAGTGACAGGCTCCTAGCGCTGCCTGGGCTGCTGGGACGCTGCCAGAGAACAGGCACCGCAGGCCCGGCGGCCGGCCCGGGTCTGTCCCAGCTGCTCCCCAGCCTCGGTAGCCTGAACGCAGCCACAGCGACAGTGAAGGAACAGGCGTGGCTGTGAGCCAGTAACACTGTATTTGCAGACACTGAAATGTGAATTTCATGTAATTTTCGCTTGTAATGAAATGCCATCCTTTTGGGTTTCGCCCCCAAACATTCTTTCCACCATTTCAAAACATGAAGACCCTCCTGGGTCCCTGAGCTGCGCAAACACGGCGGCCCCGGGCTGCAGTGCCACCCCTGATGCCAAGGACAGTGTCAGACGGACCCGGTGAGCTGCTGCACTGCCCGGAGCCTCGGTTTCCCCAGTGCGAGTCCCACCTGTGTGCCCGCAGCACAGCCAGGCCGCCCTGCGTCCCTGGCCCGGGGCCCGGGCGCCAGGTCTCCGAGGACCTCATGGGGCTGTGCTGAGCCTCCCAGGCCCTGGGCCCCAGAGCAGGTTGTTGGGAAACAGAACCCAAGCTCGGACGGCCACGGAGGGCAAAGTATGTGTCCCCAAGGGCCGAGTTCTCTGCGCTGCGGGGAGTTCTCAGTTCATTTCCAACCTGCCTTGCCACCCCCGCAGGAACCTGCGCAAGGGGCCCAGCGGCCTGGCCGACGAGATCAACTTTGAGGACTTCCTCACCATCATGGCCTACTTCCAGCCCATCGACATCACCATGGACGAGGAGCAGGTGCAGCTGTGCCGGAAAGAGAAGCTGCGATGTGCGCACCCTCCCCGTTCTGCGTGGGCGGGTGGGGGGTGACAAGCATGGGGGAGGTGACCCCACCACAAGGAGTGGCTCTCCCGCCTCCGAAATGGCCCCGCGGCGGCCTCCCCGTGAGCACCCTCAGCCGCGGGCGGTCCCGGGAATAGAAGGGGTTGTTGGTGATGCGAAAGCAAGGCCCTGGGCTCAGACAGACCTGGTTCAATCGGGCCCTTCCATTGGGCAGCCATGTGACCTTGGCCTGCACATGGGGATCTGTGCGCCCAGGCTGGCTCGGAGGCTGATGGGATGACACGGCCGTGAAATCGATGAACCCGGGTCCAAACCCCTGGTTCCCCGTCCCTGACAGGGTGGCCGAGGGCAAGCACCTTAACTTCCATGAGCTACAGCAGCCCATCTGAGCCTCATGGGGAGCGTGAGGACGAGGGGAGAGGGTATTTGACCGGGGCCCCTGGCCAGCACTGGACAGATGCCAGCAAAGGACTCCTGAGCTTGGGGCTCGCTGGGGCCCCGAGGGCGGAGGTGCCTCTCAGCCGCTGCCTCTGTGGCTGTGGGCGCCAGTGGTGGCAGCAAAGGAGCGAGTGGATGTCACCAGGAGGAGGCGCTAATGCCCCTCATGCCCACAGCGGGAAGCTCCCGTCAGCCAGGGCCCCAGCCTGGGACCTGCCAGGGACAGAGCCATGAGCTAACACTGCTTTGTCTCCATGCCAACGACGCTGTCACATCACCCACGTGCGGTGTGCCAGGCAGTCCTGGGCCCTAACCCCCCCGCTGTTGCTCATCGAGCCCTGGCAGCACCATGAGGGAGACGTTTGCTATTCCCATGTCATAGATGGGGAAACTGAGGCTCAGGGAAGTTGGGTCACCTGCCCAAGGTCACCCACTAGGAAGTGGCCAGTCTGCCCCCTGGCCTTTGCCCTTGACCCCTATGGCTTTGGCATTTAGGCTTCACTGTGGGGGTCTTTTGCTCAGTGTGAGGTAGGTGAGGAGCTGGGAAGATGAGGGGCAGGGCCCCGGGCTCCCTCCGCCTCCCTGACTGAGCCTCCCCACTGCCGCCCCAGTTCTGTTCCACATGTATGACTCGGACAGCGACGGCCGCATCACCCTGGAGGAATATCGAAATGTAAAGTATGCTCCTCGCCCGCCCGGCCAGGGCTCCTGGCGCCTCCCGCCCAGCGGGCACGGAGGCCCTGGGTCACGTCTCTGCCCGCCGGCAGGTGGTGGAGGAGCTGCTCTCCGGGAACCCGCACATCGAGAAGGACTCGGCCCGCTCCATTGCCGACGGGGCCATGATGGAGGCGGCCAGTGTCTGCATGGGGCAGATGGTGAGTGACCTGCCAGGGCTGCGGCTGTGGGGCCTGCGGACCAGCTGGTAGCCTCTGGAGTGACTGGCAGCACCTGGCACCGTGGCAGGGCCGGGCGGTGTGGAGCAGGCTCGCTTTACTGTGTCTGTCTGCGTGGCTCGGAGGGGATTTGAGGCCCTGAGGCAGGGCTCACAGGGAGCCCTCTTGGGCCATCTGGTCTGGTCTGGGGCCCTGAGGAGCTGGAGGGGGCGGGGGGGGGGGAGGGTTTACCTGAAACGTAGGAGAGGGCTCTGCCTTCAGAGCTTGCGGCTGCAGGCGGGCGGGGAGCGGGGGGGGGACGGGGGGGGGGCCTCCACTGCTCAGGCCCGGCGGGCAGAGCTGGGGTGGGGAGGACCCACGGGCACGAGCACAGAGCAGGGGACACCTGAGCTTGGCCGGGTCACACTGGTGTAGCCAGGCCGGGCCACTTCTCAGGGCTGCAGGTCAGCCTGTGATGAGCTGGGCGGGTTAGAGCCGGCTCCCCACCCCGCGTTTGACACGTAGCCCGGGCGGCGGTCTCCTGGGCCTCCATGCACTCGGGTGCCAGCCGCACCTTCCCAGTTATGACAACCAAAATGTCTCCAGGCGTTGCCAGAGGTCCCTGGGGAGAGGGGCTGTGGGGAGAGGGGAGGAATCGACCCAGCGAAGAGCCAGTGGATCTGAGGGCCACAGGGATAGATGCTCAGTGACACTGTCACCGCATGTGCCCGTAGGAGCGGCCACTGCCCGCGTTCACACTGCTGTTGGGGTGTGGAGGCCCCTCTCCGAGGGCGCCCACAGCATGTGCGGCCACTGCGCGAGGCCCTTCACATGCACCGTTGTATTGATTCTTAGCCTCGTTTTTACTGGTGGGGACCGGGGCTCAGAGACACGGAGCTCCCGGAATTTGGGGCCATGATCTTGGCTGTGCTTAGTAGGCTCACCTGGGGGTGGGGGAGGGGGCTGGGGCCAGTGGGCCAGCCTGACACTGTGGCTTGAGCCCCCGGGGACCTCGTGGCAGGTGCGAGGCCGTCTCCATGGACTCTGTTCCCTGGGTGTCGGGGTCCCACTGGGCCGTCCCCGCCCTGCTCCTGTGTTTATGTCAGCTCCGCTGTGCACGCCTGTGGCTGAGGGTTCACAGCCTGTGCGTGTGAGTGTGTTTATGTGTGTGTGTGTGTGGGGGGGGCGCTGTTTTCCTGCTGGATCTGCTGTTTGTGACCCAAGCCCGAGCCCAGGGGCCACAGCAGGCCAGGCCGGCCCCGGGGGTGGGGCTGGGGCTGGGGGATTTATTGGCCTGTATTTTATCTGCCTGCTGCTTGGGCGCAGGGCAGGCGCTGGCTTCTGAGAAACCACCCCACTCAGCAACTTAACTGCCACAGAGGCTGGTGACCTCAGTGGGGAGCGCAGGGATGCCCACCGGCTGTCGGGCCGGATTCCCATGTGATGTAACCACACGCGCCGCCTGTAAGCCGCTCCGGGCCTCCGGCCCCAGCTGGCGAGCTTTCTCCGCTTGCTGCAGTAAACGTGGCTCGCAGCTGCTGACGGGCACCAACCCGCACAACCTCCGAAGCGGGCACGTGGAGCCGCGGTTCCCGGCCGTGTCCCGAGCGCTGTCTACTTAGGATCCTCCGCGTGCTCGTCACATTTTCGTGGCGGCGTGGGCCGGAGAAGCAGACGAGCTGCGTGCGTTTCAGTGCCGCCGGCCTCTGAGGACGCTGAGGGTGGCCATGCCGCCCACACTGAGGATCCAGCACCCTTTAATGGACGTCAAGGCCTGTCACTGACGGCAACGGCTTCGTTCTGGAGAGCTCTCTCTGGGAGGCTTCTTGTGGCTCCAGAGGGGTGCTGCTTGGCTGGGGGCTCGGCCTGGGGTGTTTCTCCGAGCCCCCCTCTCTCCTTCCTTCCAAGGGTGCCCTGCAGCCCCGGCCCGGGCCAGGGGGGCCTTGTCTGTACTTGGCTCTCCTCGCTGCCCCGGGCACTGGGCTTGCCTGCAGGGACAGGACAGCCACTTCTCGCTGGGCTCATGACAGGCATCTGAGGACTGGTTGCATTTATAACATTTAAAAAAATGTATACCAAGTGCAATGAAGAAACCAGAGGGAGAGCCCTGTCCGCGGGACTAGCGGCCTGGCCCCTGCCCGGGGCCTTCCCTCTAAGGGGTGCGGGCAGGCCTGCCTGGGAGGCTGCTGCGAGGCTGCGCAGTGTTGGCGGAACAGCCGTGGTGAGCGCTCGGGACAGTGCCTGGCACGTCGCAGACTTCCTTAAAGACACACGGGGCAGCCTCCAGGGAGGCCCCGAGAGAAGCGTCTCTCCTTGGCCTTCTCCCTTCAGCCCGTCCTGCTCCCCGAGGGAACAAGGCAGGTCCACGCCATGCCCCCTGCTGGCCGGCTTTCTGCGTCCCTCTGCGGAGTTAACTGCCCGGCTTCTCCTCTCTGTGCCGCCCCCACGTGGCAGCAGGGGGGCCGCCGAGCTGGGCAGAGGGTCCGCAGACACCCTGCTGCTCCTGCTTGTGGTCTGCTCCACTGTGCACGTGCCTTGGCGCCGTTTCCCTGTCGGCGGGTATAGGTCGCCCTTTTCTAATGGCCGCACGGTGGTCAGTCCCGCGGACAAGTGACGTTTATGTGGCTGGGCATCTGGGATGCTGGCCGGGCTGTCCTGTCCCTAAGGGGCTGGGGAGGTGTCCGGGGGCCCTTGAGCCGGAGTAAGAGCAGCAGCGGAAGGGCACGAGGCCCCTGTGCCCCCAGCAGGGTCACAGCGGGAGGCCAGCACCGCCAGTGACGGGGCAGGTGAGGCCGCCGCCAGGCGCTATCATGGTGACTCACTGGGCACACAGGCCAGCCCTTCGCCCCCCTGCTCCTTTCCCCAGTGGCCTGGGCTCGGATCCGCCTAGAACTGGTTCTTATCGATGCTGGGGCGCTGAGGCAGGACCAGGAAGTGTGTGCCATTGGCGTCCTGCTGGGGCCTGGCAGAAGGGGCTGGGTGGGGAAGGAGGGCCCGTGCCTCCGTGCCCACCCCGCCTCCTTTTCCACCCTCATCCACAGGGTCTCCAACCGCCTACCCTCCCGCCCTCCAGCCAGTGAGGGGGCCGTCGGATTCAGGGTGACTGGCCTTGAGCCGGAGACAAATAATGCAGAATGACCCTCTTGTGACTTGACCTAAACAGGCCAACCATGTGTGTGCGCGCGTGTGTGTGCATGTGCAGGTGTGCGTGCGGGGGGAGGGGCAGAGCCCCCTGAGCCTCCGGTGGAAGCCACTCACCCTGCCTGTGGTCTGTCCCCAGGAGCCTGACCAGGTGTACGAGGGCATCACCTTCGACGACTTCCTGAAGGTGCGTGTCTGGGGGAGGGGTGCGGGGGGAGAGTCCTGGGTGTGGCCGAGGTGGGACTCGAGGGGGAGCCAGCTGGTCAGGAGATTGGCATCTCCGTGGAAAGGGTCGAGCCTGGGCGTGGCGTTCAGACAATTTAAACTGGTTCTACTTGCTTTCTATTGAAAAAGCAATATTCCCGCGTGGCCAGGACATTTGCAGGCTACAAAGGGTGCACAGTGCCCCTCGCCCTTCTCAGAAGCCATGCCAGTGCGCAGCGGGAAGCAGGGCTCCGGGTGTCTGTGCCCAGACACTGGACCAACCCGAGTGTGGTCCTGCCCTGGCTTTCCCGCCTGCGCCCGGGGCGGCTGCGCTCCTCCCGCCTCCCTGGCGGCTCCCCGCTCCCCCTAGTGGACACGCAGGCCTTGCTCATCCTTCCTGCTACACAGGACTCCCAGTTGGGAGCTGGGACCCCTCGCTCTGGCAGGAGATACCCTGTTGCAGGGAGATGAGGCCCCCGCCCTCTGACTGGCTCTTTGGCCCCGAGCACCCCAGCATCGGGGTTTCCAAGGCCTTTCTGGGAGTTGAGGAAGTCGGGGGGGAATGGCATGGAGTGGGGCCGGCCCTGCTCCCGTCTGCAGTCCTGACCTGGCCCGTCACCAGCCCACGCCCGGCCCAAAGGCTGCAAGGAGGCCCGAGGTCTCCTTCGCCTTCCCAGGGCACCGCCCGGGGCTGGGCAGGCGAAGGTGGGATACCTTTCCTTTTTGCCTGAGAAGCCAGCTTCCTCCCCGAAGGCTGGCCACCGCCACGCCTCCAGCCGGGTGGGCCTTTCCTGCTCGGCTAGCGCCTCCCCACCGGAGCTCCACAGCTTCCTTGGTGACCCCACTGCCACCCGCCTTTAGCAGGAACCGTCCTGGTGCCCAGGTAACTTCCAGGAACGTCCTGCTCACCCAGCGAGGGCCAGAGCCTCCCGCGGACCCAGGTGTTTCCTCTGGCCCTCACCCCACCCAGGGCAGCTGCAGGGCCCGGGAAGCGCGTGGCATCGTGCGTGTGACAGTGGCCTCCCTGTGGCTTTGGCTTCCCCGTTTCCAGCCCCCGGCTGTCCCTGGAGACGCTGTGGTGACAGCTTGAGAGCTTGACGTTCTTACATAAGCAGGGAGCCCTTGAGAAGTCACCGCCCACCACATCCCTCCCACCCTCGCTCCGTTTGGGGCCCTCTTGGGGGAGCGGGGGACTGTGTGGCTGAGGAGCTGGCAAGCACCCAGCCGGTGTGGGACTCTTAGGGGTGGGGGTGGGGGGGTAGGGTCTGGCAGAGCCCGGCCAGGCCGCACTGGGACGGCGTCTCCAGCACCAGGTATTGTGGCCACGGCCCTGGTCTTTGGGTGGAAATGACGTCTCCTTTGAGCTTGTCTGTGTAGAACATGGACGGTTATAAAGACCAGACTGTTGTCACCTTTTAATGAATGATGAAGGCTTACTGAAACCTCACAACTGCAGAGCCCTGAAGTTTATAAAACGCTTCTGATGACTCGACACCCCACACCCCAGTCTTCTGTGCTGTGGGGGACGGGGGTGATCTCGGCATTTTACCGGGGACCCAGAGCCTGAGGCGGCGGCGGATGGGAGTGTGGGTTCGGGACTCAGTCACCACCTGCGGTGACACCTCAGAGAACACGAATGCCAGAGGCAGCTCCCCAGCAGAGCGGCAGCTCCCTGTGGTGGCTCAGCTGGCTGTCCCGCGGGCACATCTCTGATGCCCGCAGAGGGAGGTGGGGTGGGGGATGGTTCAGGACTTGCCTGGGTCGGTGTGAGGCCCTGATGCCGCTCCGTGCATTTCAGATCTGGCAGGGGATCGACATCGAGACCAAGATGCACGTCCGCTTCCTTAACATGGAGACCATGGCCCTCTGCCACTGAGCGCTCCCCGCGGAGACCGCACTTTGCACCGCGCAGCCCCCCGAGGCCGAGCAGCCGGGCTGGGGCCTGCGCCCCGCAGCTCATCCCGCCCCCAGGACAGGGCATGGTGTGTGGGACTTTACTGTTTTTATCTCCAATAAAAAAGGAACAGGGTTTGTTAATGAACAAGGCTCCTGTCTGTCCCTTGCCCACACGAGTGGCCAGCCATGGGCTGGCACAGCGGAGATGGAGGAGCAAGCAGCTGAGTCATGGTCGAAGGCTGGTTCACGGGGATTTTTCTCCTTGTTGGGTTCATTTTGGTAATGTGTCTGCTGTTTTCCCTGCAGAAGTGCTGGGAATTAAGTCAGGAGGCAGCTCCTTGCTCCCGGGACTGGGGACTTGGCTGTGGGCTTCCTCAGCGTCGTGGCCGCACATTTGGAGCCTGTGCGGCTGCAGGGGCCCGAGCTGGCCTCATGGTGCTGGGCACTGATGCCAGGGCTCAGGCTGGGGTGCTGTGGCCCCTCCTGGCAGGATGGGGCAGCGGCAGGGCCCAGCACTTGGTCCCCAGCTTCCGTGGCAGCGATGTAGACCTGGCACCGCGGGGGGATGTGACTGCCCCAGGTAAGCATCTCCCAACGCTCACCTGATCGGGATGGGCTGTGGGCGGGGGTGAGGAAGCACGGGTGTGCATCGCAGGTGGGGCTGTGGTCTGTGAGTCAAACTTGGGGAGCCGAGATGCCCTGCGCCTCGCCCAGCAGTACTGACGCCCTGGGCACAGCACCGGGTGGTGGGAGCTGTCGCTGTTTGCACTCCAGGCGTCCTCCCGGCATCACATTAAGGAGACGCTGGGCGGCACCGTTTCCACCTTAAAGTTCTCCTGCAAACTGGCAACAGCTGTTACTTGCATTCTCTAATTTTTTAAAAAAATGTCTTTATTGATTTCAGAGAGGAAGGGAGGAGAGATAGAAACATCAATGATGAGAGAACCATTGATGGGCTGCCTCCTGCATGATCGGGGATCAAGCCTGCAACCTGGGTATATGCCCTGACCTGGAACCAAACTGTGACCTCCTAGTTCAGTGATAGCGAACCTTTTGAGCTCGGCGTGTCAGCATTTTGAAAAACCCTAACTTAACTCCGGTGCCGTGTCACATATAGAAATTTTTTGATCTTTGCAACCATAGTAAAACAAACACTTATATTTTTGATATTTATTTTATATATTTAAATGCCATCTAACAAAGAAAAATCAACCAAAAAAAATGAGTTCGCGTGTCACCTCTGACACGCGTCATAGGTTCGCCATCACTGTAAGTCATAGGTGACACTCAACCACTGAGCCACCACGGCTGGGCTGCATTCTTGAATTTTCAATTCATAGTTTTGACATGGTTTTGACATAAGTGCGTTACAGGACTTCTCTCACAGCCACGCACTGGGGTTCAGACTGGGAAAGGGACAGCCGGGTGCACGTGGGTCTCTAACCTGTGCTTGTCTGGCCCCACCTCTCCCTTCCCAGGCCTCACCTTAACCCCTATCTGCCTCCGGCACACAGAGGCAGATGTGCTATCTGGGATGAAGTTAAATTTAAAAACCAGAACAGAGCAGCAAGGTGAGTTGGAGAGAAGCAGGGCAGTGTGGACGGCAGGAGTCCGAGGGTGGCAGATGCGGCTGACTGAGGCTCCTGCCTGCATCCTGCTGTCAGAAAGTGCTTGGCGGGATGGGGCCGGGCCTCGGAGCCCAGCTGTGCCTGAGGACGCCGGCCTGGGACCCGCCACCACGGTCTCGTGCGCGGACTGCGGCCCCCACACCCCGTGCTGCAGGTGGATGGTCAGGCTGCCGCCCAACCTCAGGGTAAGTGATGAGGACAGTCTGAAGTCCTGCCCAGAGCTCTGCATCCTAGACTAGCACGTAATTCAACAAACATTTAGGCATCTAGAGCGGAAGGTCAGGGCGAAGGCCTCTGCTTCCTGCCCTCCAGGGGCACATCTGATGGGAAAGACCAATAAGAACTAGGAAGACAGGCTGTTTCCCGGGGTGGGGCCGGGATGGGGCCTCCTCCTGCTTCCCTTGCTGCTGGGGGTATTTTGCTCACACCCTTGGGTTTTCTGGCCGACAGAAGGGTTCTGGGGTCACTGGACAGCCTGGTGTGGGGGATCTGGCCCAGGAAGCGCCTCCAGTGCACCCTGCAGCCGTGTGGAGGCGTGGTACCCTCCTCATGCCCAGTGAGAGGAACCCCGGGGTCAGAGCGGCAGGGCTACAGCAGGCCTGGATCTGCTGGACGCTCCCAGTTTGCTTCCGTTTCGTTCTCAACAAAGGCAGCTCATTAATGTAGTGTTTTTATAAATAATGCATCTTCCACCGGCCCCAAGTCCTGAGCTGGAGTTTGGGATGTGGGCAGGCATCAAACGCCTTCACTTGCAGACAACACAGGGACAGGCTTGATGTCTGAAGCTTCGGGCCACTGCTCACCTTAAACGGCTCATTAGAGTGAGACTTACTCACCAGGAGCCCAGGCCATGCTGCTCAGAAGGAAGCTGATGGGTGCTGTCTGTGAGCCTGTGCTGCCCAGCCCACCCGGCATTCCCGCCTGGCCGCCGGGTGCTGTCTGTGAGCCTGGGCCTTTGCCCATTTGGTTGGTTGCGGGGGTGACCAGGGCTGACTTAGTTGGTACAAACCTCCCAAAAGGGTAGGCTACTTCACCGTCTAGTGGGGCTGCTGGCCTTTGATGAACAAGGTGAGGGTTGCTGCTCTTGGCACAGGTATCGAGGTGCCACCTGGCAGTGTGAAGTGGGCAGGGGCCAGGCGCAGTGGCCTGGAAATGGCTCCTCTTACCTGAGGGACAAGCGGGTGTGCCCAGGAGGGGCCAGCTGGCTGCAGACCCAGAGCGAGTGCAGCAGCCTCCTGGCCGGACCACCTCATCGCAGCAGGTGACGTTTGTTCTGAAACTGATTCTAACACAGGCAGGTGATAAGTCAAGTAGATGCACTGGTTAGCCCTCCTATCAGGAACTGCAGTGACTAAGAGGAAGTAGGCAGAAATCAATGCAAAGCCAAATATTTGAAGAAAGCTGCTGTCAGGGCTTTGAGGGCCTCAGGCTACAGAGGGAGAGATGGGCAGGGTCGGTGCCCAGGTGGCGGGTGAGGCCACTTACCCAGGACTCAGGTGGAAAGTGGGATCTCATCCTACACTGCCACACCGCCAAGGGGGAAGAGTTACCAGAGCTCGGCTTTTGGACGAATACGGCAATCTGACACAACAGCAGTTTGGTAGGGTTACAAAAGGGCTGTGTAATGGAAATCTAATAGGAGAGGCCTGGGGGAGACATTTCGCAGCCACGATAGACATGAATTATGGATAAGGAAACGGAGTAAGGTTACAGCAGCTTCAAAGTTTGGCCGAGCACCCTCTCAGGGAACGAGTTATTGCTGGACTTTAAAACAATTCCATTATCTTATGGTCCAAGGGACCGGAAAGTTCTCTCTGTGCTTCGCTAATGGGAGCCGGGTCCCGTATGACCCGATCCTGTCACAGAGCTGAACCTGTCCCTCCTCGCTGCACGGCAGGGAGGCTGCGCTGTGCTGTGAATGCACGGCGGTTTACACAGGCTGCTGCAGAGTTAAAAATACAAGTCGCGTTGGCAAGGGTTCTGCAAACACCTGCTTTGCAAGCTGTCGTCCCACAGTGACCTTGGGGAGGCCTTGGGGAACGGAGTGGGAGGGGCCAGGGTTTTAAGCACACTTCCCAGGGCATTAGGGTCGCCTTTGTCTCTAGGAATTGTGAGCATGCCAGCAGGGGTCCCTGATGGGTGCGTGAGCTGGGCCCCAAGGGAAAACTGATGGCAGCACCCATGGCTGCCGGGCCCTCTGACCCGCTGGTGACCTTGTGGGCACAGACTAGATCTGGTCTGCACCCACGTAGTTCAGGGGCAGCAGTAAGGTCTCGGGATGTGCTGAGCAGCAGTTTGCAGCCACCCCCACCTTAGAGCAGTGAGGGCAGCGTCTGTCCCAGCAGTGGGAGGAAGAGAAGCTGTGGCAGGACAGCTCAGTTCCGGGTGGGGCACCTCCCTAGGGAAAGAGAAGCCCTGGTGCCGGGCCATCGGAAGCCTGCTGCTGGAAGCCCTCGCTCGACACCGGAGGCTGAAAGCGAGCCGGCGCCACATGGCACCCGCGGCAGCGCAGCCAGAGGGAGTCTGCCACCGCACAGTGGAGGCGGCCCGTCCAAGTCGCCGCAGGCCCTGCACTGCCGCCAGGTGACCATCTGGCCTGGCCGAGGGGGTGAGGCGGGCAGGTCTGTGAGGCTCACAGCACGGTGCCCGGGCAGCCAGCTCTGTAAGCTCTGGGCTGCCACAGCTGCTGCCCAGAGCAAAGGCCCCAAGTCAGGGAGGAGGAGGAGGAGGCGGCGGCAGCTCTGGCCTGAGCTGCTGTCATGGCCCGGCTGTACTGGCGGCCACCAGCTCTGGGGAAGCTGTTTCTCTGTAACGATGGACAGAGAGAGTCGCAGGGCCAGGGTCTGCCATTCAACTGCAGAGCAGGAAGCACGAGCCTCCGGGTGGGGGTGGGGAGGAAGACTTCATCTTGGGGTTGTCGCTTTCCCTGTCAGAAAGATATTTCCTCCGAATAGCTGAGACCCAGTGAGCCAGGGGTCTTCCAACCATGAACTACTGTCCGGGCACCAGCAGCACTGAAGCAGCACCCTCTAGTGGCAGAGATGCACCCTCTAGTGGCAGAGATGTGCCCGGTGCACAATTTCACTGGTAGTTTTGTGGGTTCCCTGGCACCTGGGCTCAGAACCCTGTATTGGTGGTTCTGAGATAATGACTCGATCATGGGCGGCAGAGCCAGGCCACCCAGCACGGTGAGACGTTGGGGCTGGGGGGAGTGGTCGCCAGGGGACTGTCACTGTGCGCCATGCCGGGGGTGGCAAATCAACTGAGCAATAAAAACATTTTAGAAATTTAATATTAGAACCAACACAAACATAGTAATGAAGTAGAAAGCAAAAGTCATACAACGTTTTGAGACAGGACACAAGAGCCTGGGGTCTGGCCGTTGGCCCCCCGCAGCACATCCAAGTCCCTTCTGTCTGCAGGGCGACAGCGGGGAAGAGCTTGGGAAGCAGAGGTGAGATCTGCAACCAGCTCAGAACGTGGGAGCAGCTCTCTGAAAGGAGCCCATGGGGAGGAACAGCCCGAGGGGTGGGCAGAGGGGTGGACATGGCCAAGCCTTTCTCTGCTGCTGGGCCAATGGTGGCTTATAAAGAGACTCCGGCCCTTTCCCCACCCGGCCGTGTCTCCGGGATGTCAGGTTTACAGCGGAAAACACTGAGGTGGGTGTGCCTGGAGATGACGGTTTGGGTGACAATCTCTTCTTTGCAAAACTCAGTTCTCAGGAGTGGGAGGTAAGTTAGATACGGGGTGCTTGTATTTTACACTGGACCAGCTGTTGCAGTGGATAGCAATAGTTTAAAACTATTTTTAATTTTGGTGTAATTGTCTGGGTCTGATTTCTTTAAACTGTTCAATTATGTAAAATTGCTGCAAAGCTAGTATGGAAGAATGAACTGGGAGATCAGACTGGGCAGAACTGTTTCTTCAAAGGAAAAATGTTACCCAGTGGCATTAAGACTGAGAGGAACAGCTTCCAGAAACGGGGTCGGAACCCGAGTGACAGTGAGGAAACCCCTCCTTTACTAACTGCAGCCACTTCACTCCCGAAGCCGTGGGGCTGAAAGAGGCAGAGCCGTGGCATCCCGACAGTGCGCCTCCAGGAGGGCAGGCTGGGCGGAGAGGGGACAGCTCCTAGTCACGGCTCCCCTGGCCTCCTGCTGGACATGGGGTTTTAATGTCGATCTTAAGTAATCGGAACCTTCACGATCAAAGGTGCTGGGACTGAGTGACGGCCCGCAGGGCTGGGCCATTTGACACGCTGGTAGTGCGAGCTCCACTGCCGTGGCCACCCTGCTGGGCTAAGCGTGCGGGGGGCCTCTCCTGGCTGGACAGTGTGCTTTCCTGGTCTCAGGTCCGTTTTGATTTCTTTTTTCAAAACCAAGTCAGAGTGTCTGGAATTGGCAGGTGTTTTTGTTATTTAGCTTTCTGTTGGTCTTCAGTGTTATGGCATTAGGATTCAGGGTCGCTGAGGAAGGCCGTCTGGTATCGATCTGTGCATGGTCTGTGGGTATTTGGAGAGGTACAAAATTCCTTATGTATCTATTGGGTCAACTTGTATATTACACCAAGTACATCCTCGTGTTTCAGTGTTTTGGCTGCTGTGATCTGTTGCTAACTCACTGGAATATGGGTCTTGCTTCTCTTAGTTCTGTCCGTATTACTGTGACATTTTGAAGGTCTAGCAGGTGGCTGCTGCCAACACTGTAAACCAAGGGTAAGGCAATGGTTTGCCACTTAATCCTTTGCAAGTGGAAGCTGTTTATCAAACGGAACAGTTCTCTCGCCTTGGCTTTATTTTAGTGGTTTGACATGACGGTTCCTCCCGTGTAGAATCACCGTCCATCCCACTTGGAGGATGGCTGTTTATTCAGTGATTATGTAGAAAATATCTGCTTTGTATCACATGTAGACGCAATAAGAAGCAAAATAGTCATTAGTGGAATAATGGTATAAATATATAATTATAAAAGCTCTGTGGAAAAATACTGCTAACCCAGGTGTGCACTGGTGCCATGGTGTCGGAGAAGCCCGCCTGCGTGAACACCCGATCTCATCCAGGCACAGCCACCGGGGGCAGGTGGGAGCAGGGCCCAGAGAGCCTTGTTCACAGTGATAAGCCCGGGCCTTAGTGGAGCTGCAGTGTCCAGGAGAGACGGGAACCCGCTGGGGTGTCCCCCCGAGGCGGGCGGGCTGGCTGGAGGAGGAGGAGGATGTGGGGAAGGCATATACATGTGAGTCATCAGTGTGTGGTTCTCAAAGCCAGGAGAGAGGGACCAGTGAGGGGGAAAAGCCTGACAAGCCCCAGCTGTGCCGTCGCGGGAGGAAAACGGACAGAGGGAAAGCGCAGGCAGTTCGGGAAGGTGCGTCACGCAAGTACCCGGGGTTGCTTCCTTCCCCCAAACCTTTGAAACCCGGAGCAGAGGTCCTGTTGTTCTTTCCATTTCTCACTGTCCCCTAAGTACTGTCGTAGGGGAAGGCGAGCGCGAGGTCATAGCTGTTACCCGCCGTGGTGTCGCAGGACGAGCGGCAGGCAGGAAGAGCACTCTGCAAGGCCAGCCGGTCCATGGCGAACTCGTAGGCATGGACCAGCCCCCGGTGCCTAGAGGAGCACAGAGAGGGCGCCCTGCAGATCTGCTCTCTGGGCCCACAGTGAGCGGACACAGGATCCCAGGACCAGAGGTGAACGGGTCAGTGCCACAAGGAGAGGCCCCCGGCCTCACAGGCTGCTCAGACCAGGCCAAGAAGCACCCGGGCCTCATGCATGGAGTGAGGAGGGAGGGGTCTCCCTTGTGTGGCAGCTGAGTCACCCAGCAGACCCGCAGGGGGCCTTAACTCAGAAGCCGTGACTAGGACTCTAACCACTGCAGGACCCTAAGCCCTTTGTCTTGGCCTCTCTGTGTCCCCACCCATGCAGCCATCCTGCAGAAGCAGTGAGATATTGTGGGGAAAACACTTAACACGGCACGTAGCACACTATTTGCTAATATCACTCACCCTATTGCATCTCTAGCTGCCTGTGCCTGAGGTACATCCCGTAGGGAGTAGTGTGACATGGGGGTCCTATTCTAAGATCAAACATAACTGTCTTTTCTGCACGTCCAGACCACAGCAGCAGAGCCCACTGACCTCCTGTGTGTGGCGAAGTTGTCCAGGTCGGCATTGCGCACCACCCGGTCGTAGGGCACGTTGGCCGTGATGAGGCTGTGGCTGGTGAAGGCCAGGTGGCGGACGGGGTGTCTGGAACACAAGGGGAGAGCACTTTGCTGAAGGTAAGTTCACTAGAAACTGAGCACGTCCTGCATGTGCTGCCAGCCTGGAAGCTGAGAACTACAGGGCCCTAGGACCCTCTAAACAGGTGTTTCTTTGACAGAGGACACCCCCCGGGCGATGTCTCGTCTTCGTTCCCACAGTTAGAGCCAGGCCCACTCTGTAAACAAGTCTGAACGCCCCAACAACGGGGCGTGTTTGGGACGTAAAGGACAAACTCAGCAGCACGCAGGCGAGAACACCCAGGCTGGCTGGCGTGGGACAAGTCACTCCAGCTCTGAGCCAGGTCCATCTGCAGGCACAGAACCATAAAAGGCCTGTAGTCCTAGTCAGGGGGCTCCACGTGACACAGGTAGTCTGGGTTGTAAACGCACATTCAGAAAATCTTGGAATGAAATGGCTTGAAATCTATGTACAAAGTTTTGTTCATTCTAAAACCTTTTCATTGCTACTATGGTCACAGCACTGAGCCAGGACACCCAGGGTGAAAAATGTCCAGTGCAAGCGGAGACCTGCCATCAGAGATGCCCGCCTAGTCAAGGTAAGACATACCTGGTGGGGGGGGGGGGGGGTGAGGCAGAAGCTGGGTTACAGGTTCCTCGAGCAGGAGATGGTACAGGCACACAGATGGGCCCAGGCTCCAGCACTCAGGGGAGGAGACCACGGCTGACAGGCCCGCTCAGAGGGCACAGGAGAGGGGGATTCTCTCGTGCATAAAGGGCGTCTGAGCCCAGGGAGGCAGGAGGAATGGAGAGAAAGGACGGGTGTGAGCAGGACTCAAGGAGACAGGCACCTGCCCGAGCGCCAGCTGGACAGAGCTCAGAAGAGCATCACAGCAGCAGTGGTAGGCGACTGCAGTGAGGCATCAGCTAACAGTGACCTGGTGAGGGACAGGCCACTAACTGGTGGTCGAACTGGATGTGCATTTACAGATGAGTCAGCACCACAGTGCTGGGAAGACCTGGCTTCACCAGCACGGCTCACCTGAGGGCATGCAGCTTCGGCACTGCTAGGGCCAGGTGGAGTCAGTTCTAGACTCTTAAAAGGGATTCCAGTGGGTGGGAGTGTTAGTTGCCTCTTGGCACCACCTGGTGGCAACTCAGTGCATCACCACAGAAGTCAGAAAAGGGCCTATGGGAGGGCTTGCCTGGTATGCTGCGGGCCCTGCAAGTCACCCAGGGCTCTAGTCTATAAAAGCTGCCGAGGCACTCGCTAGCACTGCCTTCCAAGGAAGAAACCACATTCTTCTTTCAACCTGGCCCTCCTTGTACTTAGAATGAAGACGGTGCTGCCTTCCCGTGGGCCTAGTTTATCATGATTTGCACTAGAGGAAGAACAAAGCTCAGCTCACAATTGCAGGCTGTGGCCTTTCCTCCCACCTGCCTCAGAAGCAGAGTGGATGGGGGTGAGCAAGCATGTCAAACTCAAAGGCTAACACAGGCCAAATAAACGAGGCATGCGGCCCACTGGCGTGAGTTTGACATGCTTGCTGTAAAGTGTTTAACCAGTTAGGCTCCACTCATGTAAACATACCTACACCTGTGAAGCCTTCGGCCTGTGCCTATTTAACTGAATATTCGAGTTAAAGGTTGAGACTGCACATTCCTCCTAGTTCAAGCCTGAGCCCATCCAGTCCTAAGTGCCCTTCTACACCATGGAAGGAAGTCCTAGGAATGGGCAGGACATCACATCCTGCCGCTGAGACTCCGCGTGGAGGGAGGTGGGAATGAATTAGGCAGTTTTCACAATGGGAGAGAGGAAATGCCTCTCTACTGACCGTGACCGGCTCCATTCCTCAGCCGGAGTTTCCTCACCTGAAAATGGAGATCACAGCAGCTGGCTCTCAGGGTTACGGTGAGGACTGTAAGCCCCAGATGGCACTGAGCACAACGCCTGGCTCAGAGGTTGAAGTAGTGTCGTCATTACTGTTAGCACTAGAGGTGCCGAGAAGCAGCCTTACCTGGAATGCACCTCCCACAGCTTCTGGTTCATACGATAGTCCCACACGGAGACCAGGCCCTCCTCGCCTCCACTGACAACTTTCCAGTCGTCCATCTGCACAGCAGAGACGCCAAGCTGGTGTGCAGAGAGCGACAGGGCGATCTTGTTGGTGCGGAGGTCATGGATCCTCACCCTGGAAGGCCCAAGATGAGCAGAGGTTAGAGTGAAAGCCTGAAATGACAAACAATCCTGGGTTGTGCTGGGGTCTAGGCACAACAGCCCTATGAAGACAGAGACCATAAAACCCCTGTGGTTGCAGAGATCTAAACATGCTAGAAAACGTGGTATACCGTCACACAGAGGAGGCCCAGACACAAGGCATGAACGAGTGAAGAGCCCACAACTGCTTAGCTGGGAGGATTTAAGAGCACCCAGAACAAGAGAGACTCAGGACCCACCCAGTAGGTGCCTGTCACTCATTCTATCTGCTCAACAGGGAGATGCCTGCCCTGGGTGCCCGTCCACAGAGGAAGGTGAACTCTGCCTCCACATGGGCATCGGCTGCCCTAAGGGTAAGTTTAACTCTCAGCACAGAAACTTTGCTTGTGGTATAATAGTCTGTTAAGGGCAAATCAGTTACGCTTGTCTGCCACCCAAACCCTTACTTGGTTGAGGAAAAATAACATTTTACTCAACTCTGTCCACCACCATCTTGCTGAAATGTGGGAAGGGAACACCTACAGTTGAGCAAGTGTAACAGAACCGTGAGACGTGACTGCCCGGTGCCCACACACTCTTGTCTAAAGTCTGGGAAGAGTCACTTGCCTTGTCATCATCTGCATTCCTCCCTGCTCCTCACCTGAGGATATGCTTTTTATTGATTTTAGAGAGAGAGAGAGAAACATGGATCAGTTGCCTCCCGTACTCGCTTCAACCAGGAATTGAACCCACCACCTTTCAGTGTACAGGACAACGCTCAGCCAACTGAGCCACACCGGCCAGTCATCTGAATTCTTAAAGAAACTACTTTTTATACAAGTATGTGACCTTCCACGTCAGGATAAATTATATAGAGACAGAAATCTCTTATCCATAGAAACCCCAACATACTTAGCTTCTGAAATCAGCCACAAGAGCTCGCACTGAATGAGACAAAATGTGTGTACAAGAGACCCCATGCTGTACCTCACCTAGTGGGGGCGCTGGGCGAACAGAACGCTGGTGTGGCCAGCGTGACCAAAGCATGTGTTTGACACAGAACTGTGGTGAGAGGGATGGCCTGGCATGTCCTACACTCTTGGTTATGGGAATGCACACACAAGTCTATTCTTTTGAACCGAAAATTCTATACCTAGCTTACCTACCAAACTTGAAGGCAAAATTAAAAGGCTTTTGTTTTTTCTTTTAACAGAAAAGGACTCAGAGTGAGCAACCTGTAGCTATTCGGAAAGAAAGTGCTGCAGCAAAATCCCGGAGGACTGTGAGGAGCCAACACACAGACCACGCAGTGACGCACAGAACAAACACTGAGCGTAGCATAAGCGGACAGCCGGCTTAAGACCGAACGTGTCTGCCGGGCAGTAGATACACACAGAGCAAACCCACCTAGAAGAGTTCAAACGGGTCACAAAGCAAAATTCAATATGTGCTACACACACATGCCATGTGTGCAGGTGCAAGGAAGAGGTAGCAATTTTCACACCAGAAAAGGGATTTCAGAGCACAGAGATGAGATGAGAGTACTTTAGACTGATGAAGGGTACAATTCACTAAATGTTCAGTAAAACCTGCCTGGAAAAAACCCAGAAAACCTACATGGACCTAATTTTTTAATTTGGTTTCTTTGGTCATTATAATCTGTTCAGGTCTTCTTTTTGTTTAAATCTCCAAATCTGAAGATACAGATGAATGCATGACTTTCCAAGAAAGACCCCTGGGGGCAGACAGTCCCAACAGAAGTAACAAAGAGTACACTGGGGCAGCTGTCCCGCACAGAGCACCTGGCCTGCCTGGGAGGAGCCCCCGGCTGCGGCACTGCCCGCAGGAGCAGAGGAAGCTTCCAGACCTCCATAGAGCCAGCACGCTCTTCCAAGAAACCGACCAGGAGAGCACGCGGGAAGGCAGCAATCGATCGGCACCAAGGCTAAGACCTGAATGAAATATTAACTAACAGAATCCACCCAGCTCCTGTGAGCACAATTCACCTACTGTTGTAACAAACGAGAAAAAACACATGGTCACTCCCATGGATGCTGAAACGAAATCTGATGAAATATATTTATTCCTAATAAAAAGTCTTTAAAAAATAGTGATCTATACTTTTACCACTAATATGTCACATTGTTTTTAAAAAATGGATATAATTAAATAAAAGAAAATAAGGTGGGAATCCAGTAATCGAGTAAAAATGAGGTGAGAATCAAATGCAAATTAATGTCAAAATCAACAGCTGTATCTTATGTACCAATAACCACTAGCTTTAAAAATGTAAGGCCCCACTTATAATAGCAATTAAAGGCAAAATACCCTATAACTTTATACCATATACATTATACCGAAATAAATTATAGAAGGCTCAAGAGTCAGCATAATTAAACTCTAAATAGTCAGAATAGGAAAGGCCTTTCTAAATATAAAAAACCTGGAAGTCAAACAGAAAAATATTGATAACTGTATATAAAGTATTTAAGGTTTTCTCACATGGGGGAGAAAATCATAAGTCAAAATGATCAAGTGGGGAAACGGTTGGTAACAGAGAGGGCTGGCAAATGCCTTCAAATTGATAGTAAAGATTGACAACCCAAAAGTAACAGGAGAGAAAAGAAAACCATTCACAGAAAAGGAAATACTAATGGTTTTTAAACATGTGTGACATGTTCTAGTTCACTGGCGATGAGAGAAATTAGGAAGTAAAACTAATGCAATACACCACTTGTCCCCTATCACCCAGCAAAGATAAAGTTTGGCAGAACGCTCTGAGCCCCTCCGTGCTGTGAGACCTGGAGGCAGGTACTTATGTGTGGCTGATGTGAGCATAAATCCCTCTGGGGAGTGACTTGGTAATATCCAACAAAATAAAAAACACACTACTGACCTGGCAGTTCTGCCTCTAAGAATTCAGGATATATCGCACGTGTCCAAATGCATACAAGGCCACTGGCCACAGCACTGTTTTTAGTAGCAGAAGATGGGGCTTCTGTTTCAGCAACGTGTTGACCCACTCATTGAAAATCCCTTAATACTGCTGGATATCCTTTTAAATGCACTACTGAGCTCACAAAACCAGCGACTTCCCCAGGGCTCGAGCTGAGAACCAGCCTGGAGAGCTGGAGCTGCAGTGCCAGGCTCCTGTGTGCACGTGTGGTGGGTGAGGCTGCTGGCAGGTGCCAATCTCAGGAGCCAATGGGTCTGGATCTTACCTGGACACAGGCCCACCCAGGGGGGGCGGGGGTGGGAGTATTGAGATTCCTGCTTTATAAAAATGCCAAAGTAACCTTCTACAAATGAAAATATAGTCCCTGGAATTAACAGGCTGGAAGAGTTTATGAATTAGAGGATACATCTGAAAAATTACCTAGAATGCAGAACAGAAATTAAACAGGTGAACAATGTGAATGAGGGGTTAAGAGACAGGAAGAATAGAAGGAACGGTTCAGCATGTGTTGGAAAGAGGTTCCAGAAGGAAAAAACTGTGTGTGGGGCAAAGAAGCAATAATCAAGTAGTTAATGGCCAATATGTTTCCCGAATCAATGACAGTGATGCATACTCATACTTCATGAGCCGTAATCAAAACAAACAGAAATGCCACCTACGAGTATCATATCATAAAGTGGGAATATGCAAAAGTCTAAAAGAGGTCTTAAAAGCAACCTAAGGAAAAAAGGCATTCCCTACTAAGGAATGACATTAGAGCGACGGGAAAAACTAGAAACAACATTTAAGTCCTCATGCAGTTGGATGGCACAACTCGCTCCCTCGATGGAGAGTGAGCTAAAGCCATCACGGTGCATCCGGACAGTGGAGCCTGTGCAGCCACTGGAGAGTGAGACAGAGCTAGGAACACTGACAGGCAGCTGTCACCAAAACACGGCTCTATGCCCAACCGCGGCCTGCGTGTGACAGGCGGAGGGTATATGCTGGGCACGTGCAGTCGCTCCTGAGAACAGGCTCACTGTTCCCAGAAGACCGATGCTTCCTATTAATGCCTCTGTGCTTTAAAAAAATGTATATTTCTATTCATTTCAGAGAGGAAGGGAGAGGGAGAGATAGAAACATCAATGACGAGAGAAAATCACTGATCAGCTGCCTCCTCACGCCCCACACTGGGGATCGAGCCCACAACCTGGGCATGTGCCCTGACCAGGAATCAAAACGTGACCTCTTGGTTCATAGGTTGACGCTCAACCATCGAGCCATGCTGGCCGGGTGCCTCTGTGCTCTTTAATCAAGTCTGAATGTACAGGTTACCTGTTTAAGTAAAATTGAAAAAATTTAAAGAAAATCCTGGAAGGACATATTCAAATTGGTAGCAGTTACCTGGGGGAAGAGTGGCAGCTAAGAATAAGGGGGGAAAGGCGGCTTTTACTTTTTTCTTCAGGACACTGCCATATTGTTTTAAGAAACAAGAACTCATTTGTGACTGGAACGGGCACCATGAGGTACAGCCACGCTGTTTAAGCTGAGTGGGGCGTGACAGGCATTCGTTACTCTAAACTGTACACATCCCTCACCCTCCCATGTGTATACCTACTCTGCTTCAAATATAGATGTTGCCTCAGAGCACAGAGGAGGTGCATGAATTCTTCCTGGCTAGGACATGCAACTAACTGGGTGACACATATTAATGGCGACCCCTGTTACTCCAGCAGCCGTTCAATCCCCCACTTCCCAGTAGGGAGCTGGGCCTGCAGGGATGCAGGAGAACTTGAAATGTGCTGGGAAACGACGGTCTCCCCTCCAGCTCTTAGAGGCACCATCAAGGCCCTGGTGGTGAAAAAGGGCAGGAAGGTGTCAGCACCCTAGGAGCTTGGCCTGTAGCAACCACAGCCTAACGGCTTGCTAATGGGGACCTGTAAGGGACGGGAAAGCAAACATTTAGCCCAAACACTTTTTAGCACATATCTGGTTAATAAGGGCCTACTTTGCTGTGGTGATTTTCATAAAGAGCCCCTCTGTTGAATATTTATGCTCTGTAATTTACAGTTTGGCTGTTAAGGAGACAAAGGCAAACACGAATTTGGTCCAGAAGTTCAAAGTTTGCCATCTGTTTTCCTATTGTATTTAGATACCAGCACGGATGGCTCCAAACAAAACAAACAAATATACCAAAAGATACAGCACTTGCGTATTTTGTATCACCAAGGAGACAAAAGTGGGCCAAAACAGACTTCACTTCTCCCCACAGGGAAAAGGAAAAGCATTTACATGACATCTTGGAGAGCATCACTCTGGCCTCTTGTCGCCAGATAGAAACAGCACGCACCACAGCGTGCGAGGTCCACACAGCCGCTCAGCTGCACATGCAGGGTCCGGTGTCTGCCTCGAACAGCTGACGGTGCGCGGCACCAACCCGAACGCAGCACACCTTGGCAAAGCCCGTGTCCTCAGCTCTCAAATCAAATACTCGGCACTGGGAACAGGTAGCACAGCAAACGGGCACAAGTATATGCCAAGACGGCTGATTCCAGGGACAACAAGAAGCCAATGGTAGGTACTGAGTCCCTATCTAGCATGTATTTCATCAACTTTGCCCGCTGAAAAGAAAAATAATTGGTCCGAAAGCTGTAATTGTATTATGTTTAATATTCATGGTTGGATTTGGAGGGCTGTTCCAGCACTCCCTCTCTCCAGTCCCTCTCTAATGAAAATCGCACCATAGGAGTCGGCTCTAGTCCGCCAATTAAAACAAAAGACACCAGAACCTTCCAAAGCCTCCAACAGAGGAGCATCCATCTGATGGGCAGGAAAACGTGCTGGAACGGAGAGGGAGGCACGCTCGGGTTGGTCCTGTGCTAAGAGCTTTGAATAACTTATTACAACACTTGCAGATGGAGCAGATACAACATGCACGCCCCACTCTCGCTCTAACAGCAGGCAGCAGGGCCAGAGCACACCGCAACTTTGTATTTGTCAGGGCAAGCAGTGAGCGCTGAGACTCTTTAATTGGGGGTCACAACTCAGGGCTGGCTTCCCATTGCTTTGGATTAAATAATCCCATGTAATAATAAAGCAAGCTGCACTAGATGGCAAAGGTGAAGCCTATTCCGGCTCAGCTCGGCAGTTTCATTAAGAAGGACCTGCCCTTCAGCTATATTTCTATCCAGAAAATAAAGGGAACAAGCAAGAGGCATTAAAATATAGGCTTAAAAAAATGACCAAATTAATAAAGAAAACTAGTATTTTAAAAAAATCATTACATGATTCTGTTTTGTTTCATTTAACCTGGGCTATTAAAGAGGATTTTAAATATAACCTTTATATGCCAAAATCAATAGCTTTATCTAGATAATACTGGTGATGGCCTTTAGTAAGTGATTCACTTGAAACAGCAACTAGAAAAACAGCCCAGTTTGATCCAAAGAGGCTATGCTGAGAGCTCTCTACTTTAAAGCTGCGTCTCTGAAGTCTCCAGTTCTCCGTATCTTGCCCACAAAGAGCAATAGGCCCCTGGGACTAATCACTACACCTTCCTGGGCCTGTTTCCTCAGCCAGGTCAACAGGAGAGAGCTCTGCGTGGCCATACATTCTGCGGCCCCTCACAAGCCAGCCCATGGTTTCACCTCTAGACACAATGATGTAGGAAACACCAAAATAATAGGGCACAGGACCCCAAATTGGAAACGTGGAAACATTCCATTTACTTTAATTTCTTTTTAAATTTTAATCAGATGAGTATACCTCGAATAACCCCTCTATTTTATGGTCAATTGATTTTCAACAATGGTGCCAAGACAATTCAATGGGGAAGGAATAGTCCTCTCAACACACGATGCTGGACAATTAGTTATCCACATGCAAAAGAATGAGGTTGGACTCCCACCTCACACCATATACAAAAATTAACTCCAAATGCATTGTGACCTCACTCTAAGAGCCAAAAGTACAAAAATTCTTTGAAGAAAAAACAGTAGTAAATCTTTGTGACTCTGGGCTAGTAAATGACTTCTTCAATATAATACCAACAGCACAAGTAACAACGAAAAAAGAGATGACCTGAACTTCATCAAAATGAAAACCTGTGTGCTTCGAAGGACACCATCAAGAGACAAGAGAATAAAAAGACAACCCACAGAATGGGAGGACATATTTACAAATTCTATCTGAGAAGGGAGGGTATCTGGAATACATAAAGAGCTCTTACAACTCAGTAAGTAAAAAGAGAACCCAATCTAAAAAAATGGGCCAACGATCTGAGTACACATCTATTCAGAGAGGCCAAACGCCCATCAAAGGGTGCTCAATGTCATTAGCAACCAGGAGGATGAAAACTAAAACCAATGGTTCTTGACTTTCTCCGTCTGACTTATTTCGCTTTTCATGACTGAAAGAGACTTGACTTTGGGTGGTGAATGCATAATGCAATATACAGATGATGTATTATAGAACTGTACACTTGAAACTTATATAATCTTATTAACCAAGGTCACCCCAATAACTTTAATAAAAAATTTTAAAAACCACAATGAGATACCACTTCACCCATCAGAACAGCTGCCATCAGAGACAATGGCACATATTGTTGAGGAGGTGGAGAAATTTGAACAGCCACTCAGACAGTCTGGCAATTCCTCAAGTTGTTAAGCACAGAGTTACCAAATAAGCCAGCAATTCCATTCATAAGTATATATCCAAGAGAACAGAAAACATATATCTACACAAAATTTGTACTTGAATGGTAACCACAGCATACATAATAGTAAAAAAAAAACCCCAAAACACAAATGCCCATTAACTGACAAATGAATAAATGTGGTATATTCATACAATGAAATAGTATTTGGCTGTAAAAAGGAAGGGGTAGTGACTCATGCTGCAAGTTTATCTTATAAACATGCCAAGTGGAAGAAGACAGTCACAAAAGGTCACATGTTATATGATTCCATTTATGTTATATGTGAGGTGTTCAAAACAGATCCACAGAGACAGAAAGTAGGTAGTGGCTGCCTACACCTGGAGGGACAGGGTGGAGATGAAGAGTGACTACTAATGGGTACGAGGTTTATGTGAAGTAATGAAAATGTTCTAGAATTAACTTGGTGATGGTTGTATAACCTTGTGAACTTTACATTGAATTGCACAATTTAAATTGATGAACTGTAGGTATGAAATTTTCTCTCAATAAAGCTGCTAAAAATAATCTTGAGATGCCCCAGCTGGCTTGGCTCAGTGGATAGAGCATCAGCCTGCGGACTGAAGGGTCCCAGGTTCGATTCCGGTCAAGGGCACATGCCTAGGTTGCGGGCTCAATCCTCAGTGTAGAGTGTGCAGGAGGCAGCTGATGGTTCTCTCTCATCATTGATGATTTTCTCTCTCTCTCTCTCTCTCTCTCTCTCTCTCTCTCTCTCTCCCTCTCCCCTCCCCTCTGAAATCAATACAAATGTATTTTAAAAAATAATCTTAAGATTATGGAGAAGAAGCAGTGGGATTTGTTGGTTCAGTGAATGCTGCCTTGGCAACTCACTAACAACCTAACATATGCCCTTACCCCCAACTCTTGTCTGATTCTTCCCGGCAGAGCACTGATAAGCTTCTCCATTCTAGACCCAGAGTTGACTGGGAAAGAAGGAGCAGATCACAGAGGAGAAGACTGAGGGCCACAGGATAGGAAGGGGCCTCCTTTACCAAAGCCTCTACTGCTGAACACAGCATTTAATTAAATCGTTGAAGAGAGAGAGTTCTGATGCTGGCCCAGATGCAGTGAGCCCAACACGGCTCTGACCTCTGCTGACTGCAACCACAACCCCTGCACAAAACACAAAAAGCAAGTTCCCGAGGACTCTGGGGAGTTAGGGAGAGACGGTGGGGAAAAGGTTTCCCATTTTCCCTTTTCTCTCCCAGCCTCGCGCTGGGGATGAGCGCCAGTGCAGAGCCGTGTGGTGCTGCAGGAGCTTAAACGCTAAAAGAAACTTCACTCTGAAGAACCAGGAAAGGGGGCCCGTGCGGAACAAATAATGTCATAGAACTGCATGGTGGCAGCAGTGAAGGCAGGTAAAACAGAGAGAAACCCAACTACTGATCACAGGCCCAGAGAAAGGAGCCCTGGAGGCTGGCAAGCACAGGGATGAAGAGGGGACCTGGAGAAGGGAGCCCATCTCTGAATGACCCCCAGCAACCCCAGGCTCCTCTCTGAGCTGTGCAGACAGCCCCAAAGCAGCACAGCAGAGGCCCTGAGGACTCCACTATTCTGCCCTGCTGCCATCTCAGACTAACCCGCGTGGCACATGGGCCCACAGCTAGAGGGGCACGGCAGAGGCTTTGGAAATTGAACAGACACTGCAATCACCACCCACCAAAGGCAAGACAGCACCTTCAGTCTGCACCAACCAGGGTGACGGCCTGCCTTTAAATCAGTAAAAAAAATCTCAACAGTCGCCAGAGGATTATATAACAGGATCCAAAGTGGGCAGGACCTAACATTCAAAATGTCCAGGATGCAAACCAAAATTACCTGACATACCCACCGCCCCCCAAAAAACCCCAGAAAAATGTGACCCATTCTCAAAGGGAAAAACAACTAACAGATGTCAACCCTAAAACAACCCAGATTTGGGGAATCATTAATAACTTTAAAGCAGCTATTGTAACTATATTCCATGAGGTAAAAGTAAAATGGTGCCCTGCTGGTGTTGCTCAGTGGTCGAGCATCAACCATGAACCAAAGAGGTCACGGGTTCGATCCCTAGTAAAGGGTGTGCAGGAGGCAGCCAATCAATGATTTTCTCTCTATCCCTCTCCCTTCCTCTTTCTCTAAAAAATCAATAAAAACATGTATTTTAAAAAAGGTAAAAAGGTGCCCTGACTGGTTTGGCTCAGTGGATAGAGTGTTGGCCTGCAGACTGAAGGGTCCCGGGTTCAATTCCGGTCAAGGGCATGTACCTTGGTTGCGGGCACATCCCCAGTAGGAGGAGTGCGGGAGGCAGCTGATCGATGTTTCTCTCCCATCGATATTTCTAACTCTCTATCCCTCTCCCTTCCTCTCTGTAAAAAATCAATAAAATATTTTTTTTTTAAAAAGGTAAAAAGGTAAGAAAGACTGACATTTGGAACAGAGAAATAGAAACTATGAAAAAGAAATGAACGGAAATTTTGGAATTCAAAAATACAAAATCTGAAATAAAAGTCACCGATGAGCTCATCAGCAGAATGGAGATGACAGAGTAAGAGCTAGTGAACCTGAAGTTACACAATAGATACCATGTGACCTGAAGAAGTGGAGCTGGGAAAGAAGTGAACAGAGCTTCCGTGATCTGTGGGACAATATTAAAAGGTCTAACATCCGCAACCCCCACCTCTCACCAAAAAAAGAAACTCCTTGCAAATTCCACCTGTTTGCAAACTAACTCAAGCTGATTTCCTTATTTATTTTTTTAAATATATTTTATTGATTTTTTACAGAGAGGAAGGGAGAGGGATAGAGAGAAACATAGATGAGAGAGAAACATCGATCAGCTGCCTCCTGCACATCTCCTACTGGGGATGTGCCCGCAACCCAGGTACATGCCCTTGACCAGAATCAAACCTGGGACCTTTCAGTCCACAGGCTGACACTCTATCCACTGAGCCAAACCGGTTTCGGCTGATTTCCTTATTTTAATGAAAAATTATTTTTGTCTTAATCTGGGACAGTTTTATGCATCTTTAGAGCCCATGTCATTCTCAAGTTATTTATAAAGTACTAAGAGAATGCACTGGAAATTCCGTTTTTTAAGTTAAGAAAAAGGAGGGTCCAGGTTTTTAAAAATTGCATTAGCCATTAAGTAACAGTCTAGGATGTAGTTCTTTTCATAGTATGTGACCCCTTACTCCTACTTTTGAAATAAAACAAGCTGTACAAGCATGGGTGTGCCTCTCTGATGAGCTCCTACTCATAGCTGTTAAGCCTTTGAGGGGAAAAAACCTCACGATATTTCCCTGTACTACATTTAGAAGTTTAGGTTCCTTATTCCTTCCTTTTTCCAGATGTACAATGTTTAACCCCTGTGTTTCAAATTCATATCGCTTACCCTGCTACTCTGACTCACAGGAATAATCCTCCGTACGATGGTGGGACTCGGACATACTCTGGTCAAACAGCTGGCACACAGAGGTAGGGCTGCCCTGACTGAGGCCACTTCGGATGGCCCCCTCCCCAACTCCAAGTCATTAGTCTGTTCTTTTCATCCACGGAGACAGAGGGTTTAAAAAATAACATTGGTTTACTAATAAAATGGGCTTAATGTGATCAAGTCTGGATTGCAAGATGGCCACGAACTCTGCACGCTGAGCAGTAGCTCCTCCCTGGCAATGGTCGCATGAGCAGGCAGCCTGCTCCGGAGTTAAGTCAGCTTTGCTTAACTCTGGAGTGTGTGTGTATATACACTTTAACTGATAACTCACTTAATTTTCACTGCTTTTTAACTGATTTGAACGAAGAAAATTTATCCTAAAGTGCACTAGACTTTTTTTTTATGGGGATACATAAAAGATAAAGTTTACAGTAGCAGTTGATGAATTAAAGGCACACAACTACCTAACGAAATGATTCTTGATGTTTGTGATTCCATTGCTTCGTGTTATCAGCAGTGCCTGGACCAGAACGGTCATCAGTTTGAAAACAGGCATTGACAAAAAAATTACTCATTCCTGGATTCCTTTAAATTTTGAAAATGAACAGTATGCTAATAAACACTGACTTTATAATCATTCAAAGTGTGTGTACATTTTTGGGACACGCTGTATACACTGAGTGTGTGCCACTCGGACTACCTGGCATCGGGGTGGAGCCGACAGTGGTCCCGACAGCCTGGCGGGCCCGTCCTCTAGAGCTGACTGGGCTAAGGCAGGCGGAAAGCAGGTTTCCAGGAGTCCAGCTGTGGCGGCCGCCTACATGGCCACGCTGTAAACCTCACCGACAAGCCCCACCCTCCCGCCTGGACGCTGCAGCGCCCTTGCATGTGCTCTCCTGGAAAGCGAGGAGCTGCGAGGTCCCCTTGGGGAGACCCTATCAGATAAGCTTGGAGCCTTTGTGTAGCTCGGTCTGGAAACTAAAATGTGACGGTAAAACTACAAACTGACGTGTTTCATTTGCTGGGGCACACGGGGCCACTTATCAAGCCTGGCTGGGCTTTTTAAGAGGAAAACTGGACACACTGAGGAGTTCAATTCTCAAGCCTCGGAAATATCGGCCATGTCTGGGGGCCTTGAGAAAAGTGACCAAGTATTTACTTTCAGTAAAGCATTCTCACGTTTTCTTTTGGCTCTGAGGGAAAGGGGTAGTGGAGGGTGAAGGTCAGGAGTTGAAAATATTGTTTGACAAAATGATTATTTTTGCAAGTGCTGCACTGCTGCGGCAGAGATGTGGGGCTTGGCACGGAGGAGCCCCCACTCGCGTCTGATCCCCCCGCCGAGCAGGCACCACCTGCAGCCTGGGGCCAGCAGAGGAGGGGCGCGCAGACCCTGGCCTCTAGCCATGCCACCTCTCCTCAGGGCTGGATCAGACATGGCCTATAACCAGCCAAAAATTTAAAAAAGGAAAAGAAAAGACATGGGGAGAGGACATGGGGATGGGGGAAAAAACACTAAAATTTGGACACGGAGTCTTTTCAAACACTTTAATCCTTTCGTGCTGATGGTTCCTGGAGCGTCCGTGGCTGGCACGGGACCTGCACCGGGAAAACCCGACTCCCCGAGCCAATGCGCTGAAGAGAAGGCTGCTAATCACCTAAATAGGAACTGGAATCTGTTCACATGCGGCCTCTTCCCCATCACCAGCGGGACACCACGGCGCTCGGAAACACACTCTTGACATCATTTGGCAGGCAACCCTATTTCGTTGAACATGATTCATCCCTTAGGTTATTGTTTTTAATATTAGAAAGTGAGCTTTTAAATGCCAAACAAATTTATTCCAAGTGGTCTCACTGGGCCTTCCACCAACTGCGTCCACCAAATGGCTTAAAAGACCACCTTCCCGTGGCGCTGCAGAAAGGAGGCAGAGACAGCGCCGTCCAACTATTACCTAATGCGAGGCTGTTCTCCAGGTTCACAGAGACAGCATCTCTGGGATGGGGCTGAGCACGGTGGACAGAGCCGTGGAGTGAGCACTGCGGAGTGTGAGCCGCGGAGGACACGCGTGAGCAATGAGGCTGGGCAGCCAGGCCGCGACACAAAGAGCTGTGCCTACAAAACCTGTTACTCCGACATACCTCCGGTCCATGTTGCCGCTGACCATGAGGTGGGGAGGGCTGTCCCTGAGGTTGACGCAGGTGAAGTCGCCAAGCGCGTTGCCCAGTTTCGAGAGGCAGCGTTCTGCTTCCAGGCTGTAGACCAGGATCTGGGGAGAAAGAACATGCGGGTGCCCTGTTATTAGTACATACAGCAGCCCTACATCAACACGCTTCATTTCAGCACATCCAGGCAGGGCCTTGCCCCAGCACCTAGTAAAGATGTTCTGCCACTAAATACGCTGACCTTTTCCAGGGAGTGAGATTGCAGGGAGAGGGCTGTTAGAATGACAGAAGGAAATGCAAAAGGAAATAAAGGAAAATCCAGGGAATTTCTTAGTCCAAGGTGCAAACAAACTCAAAAGACACACAGAAAAATGCCAAATGAAGAAATTAGGTTTGCGTCTCCTAAGAGGAAACGAAGGTCACTGACTGCGCCTGGTTTGGAATCAATGAGAAAGCGAGCAGATCCAGAAGCATGCGGCCAGCCAGCGCGGGTTCTCTTTCTTCTTCCGCTCCCTGTATTCATACCACGGAAGGTGCAGGAAAGAACGGTTACAGCATCCAGGAGGATGAAGCTTGCACAGTTAACCACTAGATGAGTCCTTTAGACTAAACGACAAACCCCAAGTCCTGGTCCCAATGCTTCTCTTTTCAGTCACTCTCCACTTGCTAATTTTAAGGAGCTCTGTTCCATAACATACGGAGGCAAATAAGAAGGTGGTCTTGATCTCTAGACTATATATATATATATATATATATATATATATATATATATATATATTTATATATTTTTTTTTTTTTTTTTTTTTTTTTTTTTTTACAGAGAGGAAGGGAGAGGGATAAAGAGAGTCAGAAACATTGATGAGAGAGAAACATCGATCAGCTGCCTCCTGCACACTCCCCACTGGGTATGTGCCTGCAACTGAGGTTGACCAAAATCGAACCTGGGACCCTGAGTCCGCAGGCTGATGCTCTATCCACTGAGCCAAACCGGTTAGGGCGACAATATATTTTTTTAAATGTAAACACTGAAGGGACAGAACGGAACTTGAAAGAACTAAGCAGAAATGCACCCTCCTCCCTCTTCAAGGACGAAGCAGGGACATACTCTTCTCCCTCTCCTCTATCTTGTCTTGCAAGGCTGGGCCCTCAGCCCAAGCGCCCCCCCCCTGCCCCCCAGAGTGACCACAAGAATGCTGGTATTGTCCTAACTCTCCCAACCACCCACCTGAGTGGACCAATGAAGCTCCAGAAATGTAGCTAAGGTCCTAATAAGGCTATAGTGGAGGACGGCTCCAACCTTCAGAATGTGATGGTCACTTCCTGACCCTTATGCTGTAAAACCCTGACCAATCTCTGTAACTCACGCCACCCCTAAAGCCCACCCCAAATAGCTAGCCCTATATAACCTTTGTTCTCCTGGGACACGCTCTCTCGCCTCACCGCTGTGCCGGATAGAGGCTGGGAGCCAATTCTAGAATTGATCAATAAAGACTCGTTGGTTTTACATCGGAGGAGGCTCCCTGGTGGTGGTTGGGACCCCGAGCTCTGGGCATAACAACACTTCCGTACCTTCTCTCCAGCAAAAGAAAAATAAAAAGATGATTCATAAATAATCTTTCTGAAGATTTAAGACTTCTCCTAAAAAAACCTTAGTAATTCAGTTCAACTTAACTAACATGAACCACTTGCTTTGGGTCAGTCACTGTTGTAAGTACTGAGGACACATCTTGCTCCCAAATTCACAGTCAAAAACCTCTTCAGCAACACAGTTCTGTGCCTACATTCCATTCTGTTGATCACGGGGTTAAAATCAATCACTGAACTCGAAAGTTTTAATATGAATATTTTGTAGCGAGTCTCCTCTCTTAGTACACATACGAAAATGTGCTTTCATTGTCATGTTAACCTATTCATTTATCAAGTATTAGTATACCGGTTCTTATTTTAGTATTGAGAAGTGAAGAAATAGTCTCTACCTTGAACTTCATCAATCTCACTGTCAACACACATTTCTAACAAGTGAATCTTTAGAAATTCCTAATAGTCCAGGCAACACTATAATACTAACTATTGCTAACAGCATCTGGAAGAGGGCGATTTCAAACTTTAACCCATAAAGACTAGAGTAAACAAACTAAATGTTATTTTTATGCAGTTGAAAATAAAAGTTTCTGAGAAAATTTCAACAATTCTAAAATATCCAAAGAGTCTTCTTCCAGGTAAGAACACAGTAATAATCAAATCTTTTATCTACAGGGAATAACATAAAAATTGTATAAAATCAGCTCCTGGAGAGAAAAAAATTAAAAACAGCAACTTCATGGTCTATCCTAAAAGTAATATTTTACACTTATCATTATAGACCTTTCAGTAGAATTCTTGGACTCAATATATCTGGTGGGTGTTTTTTTTTTTTTTGTTAATCCTCACCTAAGGATATTTTTTTCCATTGATTGTTTTTTAAAGAGAGTAGAAGAGAGGGAAAGAGACAGAGAAAGAGACGCACTGATGTGAGAGAGAGACAGTGATTGGTTGCCTCTTGCACTGGCACCAACGGGGTCTGGGGATCGAGTCTGCAACCGAGGTACGTGCCATGACCAGATTCAAACCCGCAACCCTTTAGTCTGCAGAATGACACTCTAACCACTGAGCAAACTGGCTACGGCTCAATATCTTGTTTTTAAAATACTTCAACTTCTATAGTCGGAAGGTAGGCCTTTAAAATATACAATGTCCATGGTAAATATAAGGATTGAAATCTGATATTGAGTCAGTTCCTATTCTTTACTTTTTCTAGTTCTTTCTTTACAAGCGGATGGACCGTCTGAGGGACACAATGAGGTCGCATCCCTCTGTGAAGAGCCTCTGCATAAAGACGTCTAAGCTATCAGACTCGCGTATCTCCTGCAATGGTTAGTAATTCAGTGGATCAGAACTATCCCAACAGTACCTGCACCGTTACGTTTAGTTAAAGACCACAGAGATTAGAAAACACATTACCCATCTCGGAGGCGGTTCTTTCCATGTTACAAGTCCCTTAACGACCTTTACCATTCCTCCCCCTCTACTCCCCCCTCCCTCCCTCCCGTACTCTCTCTCTTTTAATAAGGTTGAGCAAATGGGACTTCATTTTATCTGACTGCCACAGACTAGTGAGATTAATTATTCATGCTCACACTCTCCCTCTTGTTAAGACCATGCATTAGACTAATTTTCCTCTTTATTGCCCTAGTTGGGTGAGTCTCAACCCATGGCCACTTGACTCACCCTCAGAGGTGTATGGATATGCTGGAAAGAAGGAAAAAATTACCCATAGCTACAATCTTGGAGAAAATATTCTGCACTAATGCGACCGCCAAATCAATAGATGTTGCTGGGGATTTTTTCTTTTAAATACCAAGTGGATATTACAAAAGAGCTTACATAGTGATTACAGGGCACATTTTTATAGGAGTCAGATGCTTCTTCAAGAACTTTCTAAAACAGTGAAACCATGTTAAGAGTGGCATATATTTTGCAAAGATAACTACGAGAGATGCATTCTGGGTGGTTTTCCTTTCTCCTTAGCTTCCAGGCAGATGTAGAGGCACCTGATGGAAGCAATCACTGTTTGAAAAGAACTTCAGGGATCTTAAAGTATTTTCATAAACCCTAGTCTTAGAATCCTAACTCTGAATTTTGTTCAAGTTAATCTAACATAACAGAATTATATAACGAAAGCAGTAACCTCCTGTGCATCCACCTCTCAGAGATAACCACTTGAACAGCTTAGTGTATATATTGCTAACTTCTTCTATACACATCTGTCTGTGTCTACCCGTCTCCTCCCTCTCCCTGTATGTGTGTATAAAATTATTCTTTTCCATGAATGGGACTATTGCTCTACAATTTGGTTTTCCTACTAAATACCAGGAGTGTTCTTTCCCCGTCAATACCTATAGGTAAACCTTGTTATTTTTAATGGCAGCATAGAATTTCTCTGTGGATATTTAATTCCATACTGGTAGATATTTGGGTTGTTTCTAATTTTTAGACAAATAAATAATGCTGTAATTCGCTCAACAGCCAGTCAACAGTATTTATTAACCATCTTCAGTGGAGTGGGCACTGGAATGACAGGGATGGCGGATGACGCGCAGAAGCCTCCGCCTGCTGCCAGCTGAAACCATCCACCTCTCCGTCAGCTGGTGCGCGGCCACCAGCTGTCCTGCTCCTGCAGACGAGGGGCTCACCTCTCTGAGGAGACCCACCTTACAGCCATGTCCTAGCAGCTGGTGTTGTAAGCAGCAGGGACAGCCCTGTAGAGTCAGGAAGGAGCCACAGGCCCAACATCTGGGAAGCATCAGTCACTGTCCTGGTGCAGGAGGGCCCTGAACCCTCCAGGTGTGGCCTAGAGCCCTAGGGGCCCTAGACCATTTAGTGCGCCCAGGACTGGCTGTCCAACCAAACCCTCAAGGAAAGGGCTGAGAAGTAACTACTGTCCCTGCAGTGGGGTGAGCTCAAGGCAGGCCAACGTCCTCCTTCACACAGGAAGAACTGGATTGAGCACTGCAAACACATTCTAAATCTAAGACTGCTACCGACCCCGTAATCTGGAACCACGTGTACGCAGAATCGCCATGAAGAGATTACAGCCTTGCAGCCTCCGACTTTTGGTCACATGATGGTGAATGAAGAAAGGAACCCCTCTGTTTTCTTTGATAAAGTTTACAAAAATAGTCTTCCTCATGCTCACTTATCTGCCAAAGGCATTGCACGAACAGCAGTATCAAACCAAGCAGCAGCTCACCTGCTACGCACCCCAGCACTGCCCTTCTGAAGGGATAGGAGTGGCCAGAAGGCTTCCTTACGATTCCAGCACTGAAGCAGCTTTGTGAGCTGCAGCTAACTTGTATACGGCCACTAGAGAGGGAGGGAGTGACAGCACAGGACTAGTGCTGCTGAGCTGGACTGAAGCAGAGTGAAGAATAAAGGGCATGGGGATTGATTGAAATTCTTGGAGATGACACAGTCTACCTACTTTCTTTTCTGATCCCTGATAACCTGCCTCCCTCACGACCACATATATTCTTCTCTTCTGAGGGGGAAGTCATAATAAGCCAAA